TCAACACGACACATGATGTTAGCTCTGCGTTTCGCAGATGCCCTTTATTAGGTTGAAGAAGGTCCCTTGTACTGAATGGTTTCTTCTGCCAACTTACAGCTCCCTGGTGGATATTTCACCTCAGGTATAAAACTTTTCTGTTATAGATTTTATTTACTTTAAATATAGGTTCTGTTTACAATTTGGGTATCTATCATTAGAATAACTATTTGTTTACTTCTTGTTGTCATATTTTCCTTTGTTTCTTTAAGCATGGATTTTGAGAGTTTTTTTTTTTTTTTTAACACAATTTGTAATAGCTGCTGTGAAGTCTTTGTTAAAGAAAATATCTGGACACACTGAAGAAGAGTTTGTATTGAGTTGTGGGGGCTTTTCCTCCTAATAATAGTCACATTTTTCTGATTCTTTGCCTGTCTTCTTATTTTTTTAATTTAAAATAAATTTATTTAAAATGTATTGCATTAATTCCATTTCCACAAAAGATTGCTTTCAATGCTGTTTGAATGCTGAGTGAGTTCCTTGCACTAAACCTGTGATATTATATCTCCTGAAGTATGTGGTTGTTCGTGACTCTCCCATTTTCTTTTTTAGTTATTTTATTTTCAAACTCGCTTCCTAGGGATCACTGTTTTGTCTGCACAGCTTAGTTATGGCCAAGATTAATTAGAGATTATGTTCAAACACCTTGATTAAGACTTTGACCCTCTACCAAATAGTTATTTTGCATGAATTGGGTAGCGCATTCATATTTTAGGCATTTAGCACATAGATTATATGTGCAAAAGTATTAAGTCTTCCCAGCTGAACATTTTTGTTGAGTCTTTTCATGGTGCCTCTGCATATGCCTGTCACCTCAAGGTCATACAGGAATGTGTGGCTGGCTTGGGCTCTGCTGAGTTTCTGCTAAGCATGCCCCCAGCACAGCCAAGCACACGCTTGCTGCAGCCATGACCTCCACCTCAGACCAGCACAGCTTCCGCCTTCCTGCCTGTGCTCCCCTGAGTCTGTCGGTTCACCCTCACATCACTCCCCGCCCCAAATCATCTGAGCTCCCTCACACCGTGTGAGTTTGCTGCCTGTCCTCATGGCCTGTTCTATCTTGGAAAAACCTTCATGCCCACGGAGCCGGGTGTTGAGAAGTGGGGGAGGAATGGGAGTCTCTTAAGGCCAGAGCACCTCTCTTGTTCCCTGATCTGCAGCTTCTCAGCATAAACATATCTCAAAATGTTACATGAATTTGGAAGTTTTCCAACCACTGAAATGGTCTTTGTTGAACTAGTCCAGGTTGTAGACCTTGCTTGCATTCACTTTTAAATTATGCAAAGCATACATTTTAATTAAATCTCTGGCTTTATTTAGGACTCTCAAATACTTCCAAAACATTGGAATTGTGGCTCAAGTGCCATTGACCTGACAGGTGGAGAGTAAGCCCGGAAACAGGAAGATGTGCTATGACCATCTTCCTCAGACTCCTGTCCAGGTGGGAAGGATTTCATCTGTCCATGTGTGTCTACAACCATTCAATAGGCTGGAAAGTGAAGCCTTCCAACGGCCATAACTTTGTCGATTTATGTCACCACAAACATCGCTGAACGGTGTGACTTTATGAGGCTTACATGTGGGACACAATCTTTTCTTAAGATTCTGTTCATTCTCCTGTGCCAGATTTGTCCCTGCCTCTAAAGCAGGCAGACATTCTCAGAAGAAAAGACATGTGTTGTTTGAGGTGTGTTATGTGACAAGAGGAAAGCAGCTGTGAGGCCAGCTGCGTCCCTTGTGTGCGAGGAGCTCTGTCCCTAACCTCACCTTGGTCTTCCCATGCTCCTTTTTTTTTTAATTTCTCTTCCCTGATTGTGAGACGAATACATCCTTTATGTAAAAATGTTTGTAGACCAATAATCACTGAAACTGTCCTTCAAAATATTTGCCCACACCAGCGTTGACAGTTCCATTTTTCCCCCTCCTCATTTTGTGTTTGTAATTTTACATTATTGTGGCCTTACTGCTGATATGTTTATTCACTGTTCTAAAAATGACAATCGCAAAATAATAAAGTCACTTGATTGCCGAAACTTTGGAATATGCAGACATGACTGAAGTCATTTGGTTATTTTCTTCTCGTCCTTCTGATCTGCACAGATGTATTTAGGTTTTTATTTTTATATAGTCCTATGTGATATACAGTTTTTTTCATTTAACATTTTCTTTTCCTTTATACGTGAACACAATTTTATGTGATGTATAAATTATATAAATATAATTTTAAGTGGATGTAGAATATTTCATGGAAATAAAATAATTATTTACCTTTTATTCTGCTCTCAGACATTTTTTTCCTAATTTTTAGAAAGAAAATGTACATAATAGAAAACAAGTATTGTTGTATCATTGATGATTCCTGAGGAGAAAACCAAAAAATGTAACAACGGGGTCAAATGTGCATTTGTGCAGGTCAGATCACCTCCATCTGTGCTTGTTCTAAGAATGGACCAAGTGACAGAAGTGCCATCTGGAAGGCTGGAGAAGTCTGAGGCTTAACCAGAAAGAGCTTCTTATGATGGAGAAAGGGGTGAGAGGGTCTGCAAATTCTGGACTTGGGGTTCCAATTTCAACAACTCGGTGATGTGGTCAGATTTAGATTTTCTTGTCTCAGGAGTAGAGTCGCATATATAACAGGTCCACAGATGATGCCTATGCTGAACGTCAGTGTATAATTTACCCTGAGAAAAAGCTCTCTCCCACACATGCTGGGCTAAACCAGTAGTATGTGGCCCATGTTCATGGAAGCCAGGGCTCACTCAGAAGTTGGCTCTCAAGCACAGAAGAAGAGAAATGAAATCTATGATGAGACTGTGCTGTGAAGCCAAGCCGTAAAAGTCTAAAGCAGTGACCTCAGCAATAGAGTTTTGTTTCTCCAAGGACTGGGCAGGCTGAGTCCCAGAACTGGGCACCCTCTCTGTACCATGTTCTGGTGGGGCAGCGGTGGAACATTTGCTCTTTGTGTTCACATTGCTGAACAACCCTTCTCTCTGGACCCCAATCACCCCTATCTGATCTGCATGTCTTCTATTTAGCTTGCTCTACTTCAGCTTGACTCTACAATCATTTTTCCTGTAGAGGGATGTATTTGAGTCAATAGATGACATTCAATGACACGGTTGACTCAGGACCTCAATATGTCTGTGTTCTTGTGAGGAAAGAAGCACCTCTCTGTTGAACATCTACAGCCTCCCTGTGGCCACTGGTCTGTGTCAACCTGTCTACACTGAGAAATGAGACTAAAAGACCTGAGCCTCAGTAAATCACATGCCATCAAAAAGCGCAGATTCTCTGTGGAATGTCAGGATTACCTGGGGCTACAAGAACTCTGCATGCTGCTTCCTTCAGAACAGTGTCAGCAGAGAGCACTGAAGTACGGCGATTCAACAGTCCTGGTCATAAGATTCCCCACTCAAGTAGCAGCTACTTGGAATCAACTTGGTATATGCTAGGGGAGCCCCTCACCACAAACTGAGATATGTTGGACAGCAATCCTATGTGTGTGCAGATGGAGTTTTCTTTCATTAGCTGTGGCATTTTAGAAGTGAGCAGAGTCAGCTGTGGTTTAACTGCCCTTATTGTTATCGCTCAGCACCCAGCCACGGCTTGCACAGCCCCAACCAGTTGGGGCCGGTTTGACTTCAAACATTTTCCACGAATCGACCACAGTTGACAGAACACAGAGACCTAAAAAACCCTGAGAAAACAAAACACCACCACAGCACCAGCACCCTCCTGCCCCCCACACTGTCCCCTGCACCACCGCCCTCCCCCTCTCTGCACCTGCCAGCCCAGGGCAGCCCAGGTTGGGTTGGGGAAGGAAGGGGCTGAGGAGTTGAATGTCAAGGGGACACTGGCCAGGAGTGCCCAGCACAGACCTCAGCCCACATGGCTTCCGGTCATTTGCTAGTTTCCCTCTTTGCTCTGTGCTTTCCACACACAGAAACACTTCCAGATCTCTAAGTAGGGGCCCAGGTTTCTGAAAAGTTCTGATAAAATTCTTGAAAATCAAGGAGTAGATCAGAATTAAATATTCTCTTCCTTGTACCTGGTGGGTCTTGTGTTGTTTCCACAGAAAATCTCTACTTGCCTCCAAAGGCTCCTGTTCCACACAAACAGAAGCTGGTTGTAAATGAACAAAAATCATCCCCAATTTTAAATGAAACATTGTTTTCCTTCTAATATATAAACATTTTTTTGTTTGCTTTAAATGAACTCATTAATGAAAACAAAAAGTATACAATCACTTTATTTTTCCCCACCTATGACACCCTGAACATTTTGTGCTACATCCATGTTAGTAGCAATATGCACACACATATAAATGAGCCTCATGCCTGTTAGTGTGTGTGCGTGTGCATGTGTGTTCTCGAATTTTGCAAAGCAGAGCTGCCAACAGTGGATGCTTATGCTGTCGGAGACTTGCATGTGCCCAGCAGAATTCTCTCATGTCATCCACACAACCTGGGAGATGGGTCCCTGTAACTCCATTTTAGAAATGAAAAAATTATGGCACAGAGAGTTCAAATAGCTATAGATGCAAGATTTACACTCAAGCACTTGGGGTTCAGAGTCCATGCACTTAACCCCTCCACCTCCCTACCTTTCCAGAGTCAGCACAGCTCTCAGGAAACATGGTGCACATGAAATACTGGTCAGGTCTGAGCACATCCGCCAGTCACACTGCGTCTGAAACTGTCACCACCAGAATGTCTTACAACCAATGAGTCTGAATCTGCTGACTTGGAAGGAGAAATAACCTGGGCACCTTCAGTGGCTGTGGCTCCCTGGGGCCAGTGTCCCAAAGAACCCTAAGCGGAGCAAGGACTCTCTCACGGAAAGAATTAGACATGTGGCATTGGCCATAACTACAACTAATGCTGAATTTGAAGGCTCAGTTGTCGTGCTGTCCCTTACCTTGTATTCAGATTTCACCAAATGAATGTCCACAGAGGTGAAAGTAGGTTTTTGATTGTTTTTATTGTGCCTGTTGTTACAAACAGTACAACATTCAGGTAGGAAAGATGGCAGCTTCCAGAAATGTAAAATAAAGGCCCCTAGGCAGGTATCTGGATAAAAAGCCCCAGGGGATGCTAGGGAAGCTGCCCACTGGCTGTGCTCAGAGTTCCTGGTGCCAGGTGGCTGAGGAGCTGGTGGACAGTGAGGAGAGAGTGGTGCTGAAACCCCGTGGATGCCCCCCACCCTGAGTCACGGCAGACTCTGTTCTTGGTGCAGAGTGACCTTTCCCGTTTGCCCAGGGGTGTGTGAACCCGCTCTGCAATAGTGACACAATAGAAGCAGACACCCGTGAACTGAAATGCCCCAAACCCAGAAAGGAAGCCCCGCTCGATCCTCAGCAGACACTTTTAGTGACAATAGTTGATGAAGAAAAGTGGACCCTTGGTGCCCCATGAGTTAGGAACTCTTCCCGCTGTCTCGCAGCGCTGCTCTCCCAAGCAGAGCAATGGCGATGAGGATGGTGTAGACCACGCTCTTGGCCAGGAGGAGGAGGTAGGTGTAGTAGGCAGAGGTGCTCGTGAGCTGCAGCTGCAGGGGGTCTACAAAAGGCCATTGATTAGTTTCACCTGTTCTTTTGAAAGGCTGGGACTTAGTTTGGGAGGTTGGTCACATGGTACATTTCAGCAGGATTAGAGCCTACACTCCTCATGATTTCCTTTGGGCATTCATGGACAGAAAGTGCCAGAAACTAATGCTTCTTATGTCGCAGCTGAATGAGATTCCCTATGCTAGACACTTCACTTATGGGGACTTATGTTTTCAATAACTAAGTTGGGTGTTATTTGTGTCATTTGTGGTTGGCTCAGAAAATGTAAATAGTCTACTAATATTGTTGCACATACATAATTAAAGGCTGGGGTGTGAGTGTGGATTCTGGCACCCAAACCCGTGCAATCACACCTCCTCCCAGGTGTGCAGCCTGTCTCAGGGCCTTGGGTTTGGGATTTAGAGGAAGAATAAAATCTCAGTGTATGAACTCTAATTTATTTAGCCTGGGTTGAAACCCAGATCTCACTGGGTGGCATGATACAAGGGACTTGATTCATATTAGCTTGTCATCCTCATGAGAAAATGGGAATGAAATACTCATAGTGAGTGTTAAGAGAATTAAACAAAATGCATGGACAGTAACACAACGCCTTTTGTACAAGAACCTCTCAGTACCAGTTCCTTTATTAATCATCGGCAAGAATAAGACTTGTTAAAAAAACATCTTGAGCAATATGATGTTTTCCTCAGTTAATAGAAACAAAGGCCACAGAAATGAATGAGGTCCTTTGTTAAAAGCCTTCAGAGCCTCCTCACTACACTCCTACTTTATAGTCCTCTCATTCCCAAAGCAGCATTTACTGTATGAAGATGATCCCTGGGAAATGATGGACTGACTTAAATTATCACTCAGTCTATTTTGGAAGATCCTGCCATTGTGAGGCTTCTCCCCAAAGCCAGAGATATTCAAAAGTTAAGTTGCTTAGGAGGGAAGTCAGCTATCCCATAATATAAAGGCAAACAAGTAGAAAACTTACCATTTTCATCTTCCAGAGAAGCTTTTGTGTAGTTAATAGCAGCAAAGTCTGAAAGAAATGAGAGCAACTATTATTCCATTGTTCATATCCATTATTTGACATTTGTCTGTGTCGTGGATAAATGGATGGATGGATAGATAAGCAGATAGATACACAGATAGGTAGATCTGATCTGATTCTTTGTAATTCAGGAGATCAATTCATATATTGTATTTATGCACAGAATGATGGTGAAATTGACTAGAGCAGGTGGAAAGCCCCTTGTAAAACAATCCATACAAATTGAACATAAGTTCACCATTGTGGATCCTCACATATCATTTCCTTCAGAAACTTTCATCAAGTTTAGCAAATGACCATTTATTACAGAAGTTCAGGATGTGGGTGTACTTGCTGAAGGGATAGAATGACAGGCCAAGTTACATAGATAGCCATCTTAATATATAAAACAAGAGATGACGGTTGTATTTATCTACAGTGTAAAACCAAAACAATAGAAAACCAAAAAACCAAAATAAAAAGCACCCTGTATACGCCCTAAGACAAAACTTCTTACAAAGATCATTGACCGGTGGATGCAGGAAGAATTCCAAGGTGTTTTGGTTTATCCTTTCCCTGCTCCATGTGTCCCTGTCCCTGCACACATGGCTCTGGTGTGCAATTTTATGCACACAATAAACAAATTAGATTTTGACACAATCCAATTTGGGTGCGCTATTTAAAAAATGGGTTTGAGGTATAAACTTTCAGGTAAATCCCAAGAAGGAAACTATTAGCATAATTCTGTTGAGTGTTAAAACATCCTCAAGAGCTGACTTTAAAGTGCCTTAAATATCTTTCTTTTCCATACAGTGACTTTAGTCATCATTCTGTGCAGCTCATACTAATATAGCGCTGTATGTTAACTAACTGGAATTAAAATATAAACTTTTAAAAAGATAAATCAAAACCATTCATCATCATGCATTGGTTGATGTAAAGTCGCTGAAGTAACAATGATTCACAATAAATACTTCATTTTTAAAAAGTTATTTAGTTTTAGTTTTTGTGGGTTTTTTTGTTTGTTTGTTTGTTTTTGGTTTTTTTTTTGGAGAAAGAGAGAGTGAGTGAGCAGGGGAGGGGGCAGAGAGAAAGAGAATCCCAAGCAGGCTACATCCTGCCAACACAGAGCCCGATGCAGGGCTTGAACTCATAAACCCCGAGATCATGATCTGAACCAAAACCAACACCTGGACACTCAACCCACTGAGCCGCCCTGGTGCCCCTTTCACAGTAAAATGTGTGTGTGTGTCCCAGGTGTTCCTTCTCAATCATGGTCGAAAACAGGGACAAGATGAGCTTTACTTCTTGAAAGTATCACTTCACTGTTCTGTGTTTTCAAGTGTGTGTACACATATATACAAGCTTTTATCAAAAACAGAAACAATAAAAAATATGCAAGAAATAACACTAGAAATCTGCCATTGAGTTGTTTTAACAGAAATGCCCTCATTGGCTCTGTTGCAATGCAAAGACCTTGGGAGACATTTGTTGCAGAAACGTGTGCCAAGTAAGACAGGTCATAACCAGGAGCTTCTCCCTTGCCCTCATCATCACCAGGGAACTTACTATACCTTTTGCTTTTCTCTGATCACTAGAAAAAACAAAACTCAACAGGATACTTCAAACCATTAGTTACATTAAATTTGTCTTACCATTTGCTTCCTCTCTGTGTCTTAGTGATAAAAATTTTAAAAAGGGAGTAATGCTACACTAGTTAGTTTCAGGTAAGGATAGTACATGTAGGAAAAAAATCATCCATGTTTTTTCAACTGCAAGTATTCTCACCAATATAATTTCATTTTCTTTCATCTCAACCCAGGTGAAAGCAAAGGTAAATGCTTGACGCTAATCTGACCACTGGACAAACTAAGAATCTGTGAATTAACAAAAATTCAACTGAGTACATTTTTAAGACCTAATTGGTCATGGACTCTATCCATTCATGAATTGGGGAGCAGCTTATCCAGCAAGTAGAGGGGAGCTCCAAAGAGCCACAAGAAAGACGTTTTTCAAGATTGAGAGGGAGAGACAAAGAAGTTATTAGCAAGGAATCCATTGTTTTAGGCAAGGTCATGGTCAATGAGGGACAGAGGGGGTCAACCAGTAACCTTCCTAGAGCAGACCAGGAAATGCCCAGGTCCACGGGTTAAAGGCTACAATGCTGAGGTTGAAATGCAGTTGGACAAGTAGGAAGTCTTAGCTTACTGACTTGGGACCTTGAGCTCAGTGAAGCCATTTTGAGCCTAAAGTCTTCTTTTCAACAACCCTGCCTTTTGAGCAGACTCTCAGCTTAACTGAGAGATGAGCTCAAAATGGGAGGCATTAACATCACTCTCAGCAACTGCTCTGAGGTTCTCACAAATTTGTTGTTCCTCTGTGTGATACTCACACATCTTGACCTTTTGGCTTAACCCTGTGGTGTTCACAGTTCACCACTTAGTTTTCCCATTCATGAGTGGGTTGTTCTTTTTGTTCTTTTGGAATTTCCAGTCTTAGAGAGATCATTTGTTGGTAGGCTACCGGCTCTGAACTTACATTTAAAGCTTTTGAGAGAACATAACACACCAGGGATATTACGATGATTACTGTAAACAAGACAGTTCCAATGTGTGGAGTGTAATTTGAGTCCATGGTCCCCAAGACACAAAGCAATTAAAATCAAATAACTAAGAAAGACTTTGCTGAAGCAGTCACTCTTTTTAGCCAAGTGGCTTGTCTAAACAGCAGTGATCTGATATAATGGACTTGTAATCTCCCCAGATCTGTTAATCTGGGTATGGCAGGTGGTCTTGGTTAGAGGACAGACCCAGCCTGGCTCAGCTAAGAGATAATCACGGATGATCTTATTTTCAAGAATTACTTTGGCCAGAGTCTAAGGATATTTGCTGGGTGCCCATGACATTAGTATGAGACTCTGCAACAATTTTCAGAATGAAGGAGAAGGTCTTGATCAAACCTCATTTATGCTGATTCCTAGCTAGGGAAGTAGGTCCCCACCAAAGGAGTGAATTCTGGTCATGAAAGCTTCCTCTTAGGTCCCTTCTAACTCAGGGTGTAAACTGAGGGGAGGCAATCAATGAGATGTCTTATTTAGCTTGAGCAAAGTTAGGACCAAGGTTAGATTTTCTCCTAGTCTGAAATTAAAGCTTGCTACAATTCCAAAAGTTACCCTGTTGGCTGTGACCTGGGAGACACAGGTGCTGGAGTCATCTCTCCAGGCCATTCGCTGGAAAGAAACAAGGAGAAAAGGTTTCATGTTTGGTTAAAGCGTGAGATCTTGATCCACTGTCTTGGGCAAAATCAGTCTCCCTGCCTGTCAGCTACTTCACTTTCTCTCCATTTGAGTCAGAAACGCCCAGTGTCTGTCAGGACCTGGGGGCAGGTGAAGGCTGTCGCCATGCGATGTGTGCCCAAGCCTCATTACCTTTACTGTTACACAGGGGCACCCGGGAAGCTCCCTCTCCCACTGGGGGTTCAAGGGCTGTCTTCCTCTGACGACGTGTCTAAAATACCCAATCACCAGGCTGTAAATGGTAACGTTTGAACTGTGATCCTGGAAGTCTTCCCTAACCTGTTGATGACAAGCTAGAGCATAAGAAATGGTAGATGTACACTAGCTGGACAGACAAGCATGTGGCACAGGGATCAGCAGAAGGTGGCACACGGAGAGAAGGTCAAGAAGTTTGCAAGGCTTTCCTTCAGGCTCCTATTATTTGCCCACTAAAATAGGAGCATTGGTCCCTGGAGATGACAGAAGATGTGCCCCGAGGGGGAAACCTATTTTTTTTCTTGTTTTATTTATTTCTAGGAGAGAGAGAGAGAGAGAGACAGCGTGAGCAGGGGAGGGTCAGAGAGAGAGGGCGACACAGAATCCGAAACAGGCTCCAGGCTCTGAGCTGGCAGTCAGCACAGAGCCCAACGCAGGGCTCGAACCCAGAACCGCGAGATCATGACCTAAGCGAAAGTCGAACGTTTAACCGATTAAGCCACCCAGGCGCCCCGGAAACCCATTTTTAACAGTGCGTTTGCCACAGTGAGGTCATCAGCCTTGTGTTTGGGAAAGGCTTTAACCCACCCAGAAATGTACAAACAGTAACAAGGGCATGTTGACAGCCCTCACTAGGTGACAGTGGCGTGAGGTCCAGCTGCAGGTGTTCAAAGTGTCCCGAGGGAGGAAGTCTGAAGCCTCTGGAACAAAAAACTGTTTTTCCAAGACTATGGACCCAACAGGTTAGACACCCAGGGTAAGTTATTTTGTACTATTATAGAAGTCTTACCACTGATGTGTGTTTATAATTTGAGCCATCTTAAATGCCCAATGATGGGTGAAGGCATGAAAACACATAAAGCAAGAAAAAAGGGGTTTGTCAGGGAGTCAGAAAAAACCGAGTGACTGTCTTGGTTTTCCCTCAACTCCAGCTCTTTCTTGAATACACTGCCATTGTTAACACACCTTGATGTCTTGATTCAGAAGCACACTGGAGCCAGGGTACAGAGTCATTAGGACAGCAACCCTGCCATTTGACAATGCTCTCCATTAACTTATCAAATAAGCCAAATCGGTTTAACAAATTCTTTGGAATGTTCCACGTCAAAGAGACTTAAACAGACAAAAACTCCAAAGAAAACAAGCAGAAAACCACAAAAACCTTTAGTCCTTTTGACAAAGAGAAAACCAAAATCTAATGCTTTATCTGCTTACCTTTGTTTCATTTTTTTTTTTTAGGTTTATTTATTTGAGAGAGAGAGAGAGAAAGGGGGGGGGAAGGGGAGGGTCAAAGACAGGGAGAGAGAGAGAATCCCAGGCTCTACCCTGCCAGCATGGAGCCTGATGCTAGGGTAGAACCCAGGAGCCCTAAGACCATGACCTGAGCAAGTCCAAGACTAGGTCTTTACACTGACTGAGCCACCTGGTGCCCCTGGATCAGCCTACTTTTGTTTTGAAAACTCTTCATTCCAATCTTAGTCAAGCCTGACCACACATAACTTTCCTTTCCAAACATCCGGTGTTTACAAATCTTTATCACTTTCTTTTTTACATTCAGAGCTTGTCTTGATTTACCTTATTTATGTATTTATTTATTTATTAATGTTTATTTATTTTTAGGAGAGAGAAAGAGAAAGAGCACAGTCCAGGAGGGGCAGGGAGAAGGGGACAGAGGATCCCAAGGGGTTCACTATTGACAGCAAAGAGCCCAATGCGGGGCTTAAACCCACCAACCCTGAGATCATGGCCTGAGCCGAAGTCTTATGCCACCCCAACTGACCCACCTAAGAGCCCTCTGAATTTACCCTCTTTAGATGAGGCCCCTTTAGGACAAAATTTTTCCTTCCTTCCTTCCTTCCTTCCTTCCTTTCTTTCTTTCTTTCTTTCTTTCTTTCTTTCTTTCTTTCTTTCTTTCATTTTGCTCAAAAAATATAACTCCATGCGTCAGACTTTTTCTTACTAAAATACACACATCTTACATTCTTTGCATTCTGGGTTATTTCCCTTATTATTTCCAGTAGAATTCGTTAAATTTATCAGAATTCTTAACTCTTAGACATCTCCATTTTAAATGAAAACTAATAAGAAAGCAGTTGTGAACTGTCTGGTCAACAGCATTTGGGATTGGTAAACTTATGAATACATTTCCTAATGTCTAGAAACATGCTGTTTCTTCATGAAACTATTTTTTAGCAAAGCACAAAATACATTTACCACAGGACCAAATGTATCTTCAGTTTCTGTGCAATAAGAAAACCAAAAGTAGATAAGCCTGTGTTCATTAATTAATAATTTACTACTTATGGGGCGCCTGGGCAGATCTGTTGGTGAGCGTCCAGCTCTGGACTATGGCTCATGTCATGATTTCATAGTTTCTGGGTTTGAGTCCCACACGGGGCTCTGTGCTGGCAGTGCCCTGCTTGCGATGCTCTCTCTCCTAGTTTCGCTCTCTGACCCTCCCCTGCTCATGTGCTCTCTCTCTCCAAATAAGTGAGTAAACTTAAAAAAAAATTTACTACTTCTTTTAAGTGTTTATTTTTGAAAAGGAGAGACAGAGTGTGAGCAAGGGAGAGGCAGAGAGACAGAGGGAGACACAGAATCTGAAGCCGGCTCCAGGCTCTGAGCTGTCAGCACAGAGCCCGACGCGGGGCTCCAACTAAGGAGGGGTGAATTCATGACCTGAGCCGAAGTTAGACGCTTAACCAACAGCGCCACCCAGATGCTCCCAAAATTTGCTATTTTATCATACTTGGAAATCATCTAGATATTTAATGAATATAACTTACTTTAACAGATGACCTAACTTTGCAACACTTTGTTTTAGCTTCCCAAAAAGCCTTGGCAGACTGTTTAAAAGTTTACCTAAATTTTTAAAATTTTAATTACAATTATTCCATTTACTTGCTAACAGTTTAGCTCTGATTACCCATAAAAACATTAGGAGACATGGGAAAGGATGGGTTAAATAGGTGATGGAGATTAAGAAGTGCCCTTGTTCTAATGAGCACAGGGTGACGTAGGGAAGTGCAGAATCAGTATTTTGTACACATGAAACTAGTATAACACTGTGTGCTAACTAACTGGTATAAAAATAAAAATGCTAAAAAAACCCTCATGAAACATCAGTCTATCATTCTGCTAAGATGTGTTTTTTAAACATTTTGTAACTGAGATCCTATCTCCTTATTTGACTTTTAGTAAACCCAGGCACATGAGAGTTTTAATTAATTTTAGTGCTGGTAACTCTAAAAACATGTCTGTTTTGCTGAAACCACAACCGGATATTTGCCCAACATGTGAAGTTGAAACACATCTGGGTTAGTTCCTATCTTTCTGAGAATTTAGAATGACCAGTCCTTGCAAGTGCTTGTCTTCAAACTAAGGAAACAGGGCTCTTTGCAAACTAACCTTGACCACACTTGCAGAGAGAAAAATATCTCACACTGACGACGTGTATCTGTGGACACACAGATTGCTGCAAAGATCGTAGAGTCACTTTTATGGCAAAATTTATGGAGAAAAGGTTCAGATTTTATGTGTCCCTGGAATTACAAAGGACACTGACCAGGGTTTAGGCACAGGAGACCTTTAGCAGTTGGTATTTTAAAAAGGCATCTTGCCTTACTTTCCCTCAGTCCCAGGCATTTGTGGGCTGTGTTTACATTTCAAAGACATGAGAAGATGGGTCACTCTGAGGACAGAGAAAGACTGCAGGTGTCTCCAAGAAGGACTTTGCTTTCCTAAAGCCAATCCTGTGTAGGCCCTTTTCCAGAACCCGGAGAAGTGGGGGTGGGTGAAGGGACGGGGGAGCTCTGCATGGACCCCAGAGCTGCGTGTCTAGTTCTGTCCACATTTGTCAGGACAGCTGCTCTCAGCGTCTCGGACTCAGAGGTGACTGTGTTCAGGACACAATAAGACTCTGTGCGCCACCGACAATTCTCCTGGAACCTTGCTGAGGTTTCTACCAGGGCAACTGTGGTCTGAGAGGTTAGGGGCTTGGCTCCAGGCACACCTTTCTGCCAGCACACCCGGACTCTGGGCATGAGCCTTGGCAGCCCGAGCTGACCTGACCTAGAAAGGAAGGCCCATTAGATCAGCAGCCCGAAGGCAAGGGGAGGGGAGCCTAAAACCAAGAGGAACTCACCCGCAGCCCAGGACACCGGTGAGGACGACAGAGAACCCACAGGGCTCACAGTTACCACCCCAGTGTTTCGCCTTGTGTCTGAACGCCCCTCGGGATCCACTTCGGATTGTTTCGCCTCCGCCAAACCTGTTAAAGAGCAAAAATTCAAGCAAGTAAATGTTAAAGATCCAATGGCTGTAGTAATCAATCACTCTATGAATCAGAGAGCATTCCATCTAGCACGTAGGCCAGAGCTCCAAAGGAGGACAGGAAAGGAATATTTTTAACCATAGTGAAGGAGTGGGAAAAAAGGAAATTATTGTCAAGGTCACCTTCATGGGGAAAAGGAGTCAATTAGGAAAGTACTGGTGCTGACTAAGAATTTCCCTCCTTGACAGGTTAAAGGTTACTCTTCCAGGGCTGAAATTGCACTGAGATTAGGTATTAAGTCACTACTTGAGTGACTCAAGGTTTTAAGTTAAGTGTTGCTATTTTGGGTCCAAGGGTTTTGTTGTTTGTTTGCTTGTTTGTTTGTTTAACATTCCCAGAGGACAAAGGACAAAGACTTACATCAGAAATATATAGCAAAGCCCTTCACCTGTCTTGCTATGTGCTTGTTCCCCGCTGCGTAGAAAGTGCTTATTAACTACAGGGAACGTATAAGCTGGTTCCTTCTCTTGAGCCGTCCGGGGCCCTAGCCTGTTATGTCCATGCTCAGGACTTGACTTCTGTGTCTACAGTTACTGGCTCACAGCCAGGGGAGGGCACATTCGGCTCTGTCCACTCTGTCTAAATATGACCCACATTTGCAAAATGGGGATCCTCTGAGATACTATGCCTGAGTCAAGAGTGATCCTGAGTGATCAGGAAAAGTGTATTTGCTCTACTGTGGTGATCCTCCTTGGGACAGTAGTTCACCTGCCTCCCTTCTGGGCCAGGCGCACGCTCATACTGCAATAAGTGTTTGCCGGGCAGCATTGACCAGTGGTAGAAATACACCCATTGTGGACAATGGAAGGATGTTTGTACACATAACCTCACCTGTCTCTACTCACCAAATTTCACCTTACAGTCTTATATAAAATTCAAGTCTGAAACACACAAGGCCATACTACAAACTCAGGAGCCAAATTGCCATTTTTAGTTGAGCTGCAACCCAGCTCCATCAAATGAACAGCATGTTATCACCTGTAACTGTTGAAGGGTGATACTCTGAGTAGACCAAATTGAGGTGAGAGGGAGTTTGACTGTTGAGTAGAACATTCCCTAAAGATGTGAAATGTATCTTATCTCTGTATCAGTAAGATTATCAAAAGTTCAGTCTCTTTTGGAGCCCTTACTGTATGCGAGGTTGCTAGGTGTTTTCATATGTATTCTTTCTTTTAATCCATAGAGTGGTGTTAAAAAACATCACGTTCACCTTCATATTTTGGATGATGAAACTGAGGCAAGAAAGACTAAGTGAATTTTTCTTTATCTTTTTCTTTGTATCTTCCAAAGCCTATTATAGTTTAATTCTGTAGGCAAATATCTGGACTTTTATGCTACCATTAAAAGTAAAATGCTGGGGCGCTTTGGTGGTTCTGTCTGTTGAGTGTCCGACTTCGACTCAGCTCATGATCTCACAATTTGTGAGCTCGAGCCCTGTGTCGGGCTCTGTGCTGACAGCTCAGATTCTGTGTCTCCCTCTCTCTCTGTCCCTCCCTTTATTGTTCTCTGTCTCTCTCTCAAAAATAAATAAACATTAAAAATTAAAAACATATATATATATATAAACATTAAAGATGGCTGCTCTTTAAAAAAAGAGTAAAACATTTAGAAAACATTTCTATTTGTTTGTTGTCCATTGATTCTTGACAGAAAAGGAATGGTATTCCTTTTGAAACAAAGGGTTCTGGGAGGTTATATTCATGTGTGCATGCACATACTTGTGTTTATGGATGGAAAAAGAATCTCTTGTTCAATGGTTCCTTTATTCTTCTCACGTTTGACGATACATTTGTGTTCTTTATCCATTGACTCTTCACGCACAGTCAGCCAGGTGTATTTCATGTATGTGTCCTTCATCTTCATGGTGTTTCCCTGCTGGGATTGCAGAACTGTTTTGCCATTTTTTTCTTTCCAATCTATCTCGATAACATCAGGGAAAAAATCCTCAAGAAGACAAAGATACGTTCCAGTGTTATGAAGTTTTACTTCAGCAATTGAAGGAAGAAAAATTGTTGGTTTGAGGGGAGTGTCTTCATTAGGATTTTTATCTGTGGGAGAAAATGGAATAACAATTAAAAGATTATTAGAGAAATGGAAACATTGTGCTGTTGGAACCACGTAACACACAGCAAAAGGAAGGAAACGTTGCCTTGGAGTTAGGGCTTACCAGGGCTTTTCATCCCAGTGTAACCCACTGGGACAAGGGGTTCAAGAGAGTATGTAAGTTGCCCAAAGTCACAGCTATTAAGGGCAGCAGCTGGATTAAAGTTTGGATTTTTTTTGAAACAATACACCGTCACTTGTTCAAAAGGGAATCGATTTCCACTCACACCTGAACTGTCAAGTTGACCCTTTACCTTCAAATAAGGCTCCCATGCCCACTTCTGACACTGGAGTTCTTTCACTTGATTTCTGATTTTATAGAACATCTTGCTCTCACATATGAACCACGCCAGAATTTTGAGTAAGACAATATTTAAAGTTGCAGCCCCGAATTTTTTACAGTGCCTTGAATTTAAATGTTTTTTAAGGTTTATTTATTTTTGAGACAGAGAGAGACAGAGCGTGAGCAGGGGAGGGGCAAAGAGAGAGACAGAATCCAAATAGGCCCTAGACTCTGAGCTGTCAGCACAGAGCCTGACATGGGGCTTGAACCACGAGCTGTAAGATCATATCCTGAGCCGAAGTCTGAAGCTTAACCGACTGAGCCACCCAGGCGCCCCTTTAGTGCCTTGAATTTAGAAACAATGTGGCAATATTTCCAAAACGGTTACTTAAAATTTAGTGATTGTTTTCAGAAATGCTCTTATACAAACCTTATCAAGTAAGGCACAGGTCAGAATTCTGTTTGGCTTTAGAAAATGTTCACTGAAAGCACATTTTATATTGGAAATGCATTTGATGTTGACGCGTGACTAAGAAGACACCATACTTTGAAGCTTAGTTTCTTCTCCAAATTTGGATCTGCCTGACAAGCCTGCTGGACATGTTGTCGTACCCACAATTCTCTTTGATTTCACCTGCTCCATAACATTATATGTAACTGCTGTGATGTTACCAGTTAGGGTTCCAGAGTATCTTGTAGACATAATGTGAAAATACGTGATGAAACATCATCGTTGTCAAGGGCATGTCACTTGAGGGCTAGAACGTTCCTTGCTTATACACTGATTGTTAATTAATGATTGAAATTATAAAGAGTAGAACCCTTCCAATGTGATTTCCAATTGAAACATAAATATTAACACATTTTCTCCTTGGGCTGGTTTGGATTTAGAACAATAATTTTGTAAGCAACTTCTTACAAAAAGAAGAATCCTATTTCTCCTCCATGAAGTAAAGGAAAAATATTCTTGAGAATTTCTGCCAGTGCTACAAACCTCCTAATTTTTATACAAAATCATTAAGCAAACAATGAGTTTTTTATTCATGCTATACACAGAATCAGATCATAGTGTGGTTGTTTTACACTTGTACATCTTACTTGTACTGCAAATATATTTTCTATTATAATTTTAAGAAAGTCTATATTTCTCCAGCCATATACTTTGTTTTTAATTTAACAAGCATGCTATATAAAAGAAGACTCATGTTTCAAAGTACATGATATATGCATGATTTTTGCCTCTAATCAATACATTAAAGAATCTAGTTTCCATCATAGGAACTTGGTTTTTTATAGGATTACTTCTGATTAATCATTGAAAAGAACTTGAAACTCAAAGATAAACTTGGAAAAATTCTGGATGGGTAAGTATGATGCTTACCTCCTGCTCCTTTTCCTCAGCTAGATTCTGGAAGTTTCACTGTTTTCTGGATAGAGGGAATCATGAACTTCCATAATTTTCTCACTGTGATAGTTAACTCAGCATTAAATAGTATACTTGATTATATATGATTAGTGCCTGTATGTTGGGTAATTATATTACATGCCCTTTCTCTCAACATCTTTTTTAAACTTACTAACAGTGTTTTTAATGGCCACAATCATTTTATTGATGCATGTAGAAACCAGATTACAAAATAAATAAGTTTGTCCAATACACTTGTAGACATTAACAGTTAAAAATTTTTTTGAGGTAAATTGCCTGAGTCGTATATATTTTATTGATATGAAGCAGTATGAATTGTATATAAATTAACCAAATTCAACCACATTTTCAATTAAGTCTGGTATTTCAAACTGCATACTCATATTGACTCCAAATTTCTCATTTTTTTGGACTATATTTATTTTATTAAATAATTATTTAAAGCTATTTTATAGGCAAATATGAATTTCAAATTTATGACATTTCTAAGTGTATTATAAAAGTCCTAACTCGATCTATAACTATATTTCTGTGTACATTCTAACTACATTTTCAACCTTTGTTTTTCTACTATTGTAAGCATGAAGCCAAAACCTGTTGATGTTAGAGATACTATAAATTAAGATGAATGATTAAGTTTTAAAGTCCATAGAATAACTACCAAAATACAATTTTAATTTCATTTTTGTGGCCCAGTGGGGGGAAAATCCATGAAACAGAACCAAATACCTCTAAGTTCAAGTTATTTGTGTATCGGTGCACAGCAAGTCCACTTCCATTGGAGAACTTGGAAGTACAGCTGAATCTTCTGGAGAATTTCTGCTCTGTCGGTATCATTGGCTATAGGCCACCCTCCATTCCGGACACAATTCTCCCTTTAAGTGTGAAATGAGGCCACTTCTATCCAGTGCCTATTGTATGTTAGGTGACATGCCAAGTAATTTATTCACTGTCTCTCATTTAATTCTCATATGACTCCTAAAGAATGCTTCCTGTTATCCCACCTGATGAATTAGGAAACTGAGGCAGAGAATAATCGCCCAAGTTCACATAAGCAGCAAGTGGTAGCGCATGAGCTCTAGGTCTTCCTGGCTCTAAATCCCAGGCTCTCCGACTACACCCTTTCACCATCAGGGAAGGAAATGTGTCAACTCACAAAGCCTCCCTGTCATGATCAACATCATTCTTGGGCCAAACCTTGTCATGACAGTTACACACGATGTACATGAGCACTTTATGCAAGTCCACACGGACACAAAGTCAGATCCTATTGCAGTATTTGCACAGTGTTGTCTTTGCTGGCCTTTTCTGTAAGGACTGATAGTAAAATCTCTCCTAAGATTTCCACAACCAAACTTGCTAGGGAAATGAGAAAGTATATTGTTATCATTACCATGATTATTAGCAATTTGTTTAGATGATTGTATGCTCCAACGTAACATTGTAATCTCATGGTACCAAACTTTCTTAAAAATGGGAATATAATAGGGCCGACTAGATGGCTCAGTTGGTTAAGCATCTGAGTTCTGCTCAGGTCATGACCTCACAGTTCATGAGTTCAAGCCCTACTTTGGGCTCTGTTCTGACAACTCAGAGCCTGGAGCCTGCATTGGATTCTGTGTCTCCCTCCTTCTCTGTCTCTCCTCTGCTTGTGCTCTCTCGCTCTCTCTCTCTTTCTCTCTCTCTCTCTAAAAAGCAAATAAACATTTTTAAAAAGCTAAAGGGAATACATTACTTGAGGTAATGATTGGACCTCTGTAAATCAAACATGGAGACTTATTCCTTGGTTTGCACCCCACTTTGCTCTACTATGTCTCAAATTCACTCAGCCATCATCATTGGAAATGTGCCTTTGACACACAGTTAGAAGGCAATCACATTTCTTGTTTTGTCCACTGCATTTCCAGGGTTAGGAAAATTAAAGGGAAAATTGGTTAAAAATTGGTTAATTAGTAATATTGGGTCAGTTCAGGGAACTGCTTCATTCACTTGTGTTGTCCAAAACAAATGGCTCTTTTGCCACCAGTAGCACAATCTGTGTGCATTCCAAGCTTTCACCAGAAATTCCTACCTCAAACTGCCTTCCTTCCACATCATGGCCAATATTTGGCTCTAATCTCCCACAGTGGGCCTTCAGGCCAAATGACTAGATCAGTGGCAGGTTGCCTGGTCCTCCAAGCCTCCTATGGTCACCTAGACTGTCACCTGCCTGACCGTGTCTGCTGAAGGTCACCCTCTGTGAATGACCTTAAATGTCATGCACAGGAATGATGCAGTTGTAGCGTTAAAGATGTTCTTTAAAAACCACTCCTTCCGTTTTATAAAACGGATGTGGAAGGTAATACCCGCTATTTCACTTCATAAGCCCCCTAAAGATCTCCTGCTTTGAAAGATTTTTTCTAATTTTCTGATTGCAAAGGCATATGAAACTTTGCTGTTTCACTTTATCAGTTAATAAAAGTATGGCCTTCACCACATTTTCTCCCACCTTTGAACATAAAATTTTCCCCTGTATTTCTTGTAGATCATCCCAGACCTTTTTTTTTTTTTTTGCTTTTCTTAGTGCTTTGATCTTCTATTTTTATTGATCTTTGAGATCTATTTTTATTTGATCTTCTATTTTATTTCAGGGCCTAACTGTTCATGTATATATTATTTGAGGACTTCTCAAATAGATTTTAGAAAGAAACAGGTTAAATAAGTGAGAAATAGTTTGTGTCTTAGGCCCCAGAGCTTCATAGTTTAGGAAAGTCTAACTCAAAGATCACATGAAAAATGAAAGAAGGTGTTTCTGAATCCCACTCAGTGAAACAAACACAAAACGTGGAATTCAAACAGACTGAAATGTCAGAGCCTAAGGTGAAACTTTCGTTCCCAACAACATCCCTCATGAAGTAAGGGTTGCCGATGTTTTAGTCCTGGGCAACCTCTCACATTCTCCTAATTCTCTGCTTTAATGGAACAATACTACTTGGACAGGATATCAGCCTGAGATAAACTTAGTTGAAGTAGTTTTGGAAGTAGCGCTGGTATAAGACATAAAGAAGTTTATATAGATTTGATAAATAGTACTTGGGACTGAATGAAGACTGTATATTTCATGTTTAAGTTTCATATACAGAGAATGACAGACTAAATGGAAAGGGACGCTTTTATTTCGTAAGCGAGCAAATTGTCTTTTCCAATAGAATACCCAGGGACATCATCATCTGGGAATCCCCAGACACTCAGACCCTGTGATGACTCAGAAATTTACCCTAAGTATACATTTTAGATGCACATGAAGAGTTTGATTATATTTTTAACAAAATGTGAGGGCAGAAATAAGTAGTATATCTCAAATGATATTTGTAATGATATAATTTTTAATGTGTAGGTATAATCCAATGAACATATTAAATATTATAAGTGAATTTTTACTTTTATATGTATATTATTATACTTTTATATATTCAAGTTCTAAAACCTCTCATTTTTTACATCCAGAGGTTTTCACTGAAAAATGAGAATCACCACATGTCAGGCTATCAATGGTTGAGGTGATGCTTACTACATTCTAGTCATATTTGGAATCATGTAACAATAAATCTTAGGAGTTAAAGGTATTCTGCCAATACTGACCAATTGTTCTAAAATGACCTGTAGACTAGATCATAATCAATACATTTTCTGTACTCCTGACTCATTAAGTTCATCAGTAGTTCATTATTTGAATTCTAGAGAATTTACTTTTTAAATTTTTTAAAATTCATTCATTTTTGAGAGTGAGAGAGACAGAGTATGAGCAAGGGAGGAGCAGAGAGAGAGGAAGACAAAGAATTCAAAGCAGGCTCCAGGCTCTGAGCTGTCAGCACAGAGCCCGACACGGGGCTCAAACTCACAAACTGTGAGCTCATGACCTGAGCCGAAGTCAGCTGCTAAACTGGCTGAACCACCCAGGTGACCCAGAATTGACATTTTTAAAATCACTGACCCTGTCCCAACCAATGTGGCAGCTATAGTTTCATTTTGTCCTTACAACAAACCACTTGAGATGTTTTTTACATTGACAGAATTAATGTATGGAAATATAGCAAATGTTAATAGCAATAAATGTCACTATCCAGTTTGTATTTTTTCTCTTTTCTAACTTTTTCCACAATGGCCATGTACTATTTTTATAATTTTGAGAAAGCAACAGCGATTTAATTAAAATTTATTTGCTAAAGGATGATTATTCAGAAAGTGATAGATCTAGAATCAAAGTCCATATTTTTCTCTGCACTGCACTCTCCTACAAAACTTTAAGGACTTCCTGAATTATATCTGTGTCACCATTATTTAATCAAGCTTTTAGAATTTATATCGCAGTCAGGTGGAAAAAAAGACAAGTTGCTTTTTAATTTATGAATTCATTTGTGCCTCTGATCACAACCACTAAGAAAACCAAAATATATCATTATTTTCATGATTTCAGTGCTTTACCAGCATTGTGAAACTTCTTTGAAAACTTGTAGTTGACTAGATCTAGCCGTCTAGAAACATCCCCGGGAGGTGTTCTCCCTCATCCAGGCAAAATTTCATCTCTACGGCTAATGAAGAATGAACACATTTACTAGCCTGAATTTAGAAAATAAACAAACAAACCCAGCTCATGACATTATGGATACGTTTGCACAGTAAGTGTGTCCATACCTGGTATGAATCACCTTCTGACAAAATGACTAGTTTAGCAATTTTTTGTTCATTCTTTTCCATTAGTTGGTTTTAGATCAAATGAATAAGATACACAGATTTCTCTACAAACCTTTCATCACAGAAATCGCACAGGGACCTGACATCCCCACCCCTCAGGGACCCCCAGCTGCTCTAGCAAGTTAGCTCCTTGTCAGTGTCGTCCATGCGAGCTCAGGCAGCAACTACCCCCAAGGACCGGGACACAGCCATCTACCTCTCCAAAGATCCCACTGCCATTTGTGACCAATCTGGGACCGAATCCTAGAATTCTGAGCCAGCACCTCGCCTGCCGCCCCTGCATCAGCTGCCTCCCCACGTTGTATGGAAGAATGAGAGAATATTTACCTGTGACCCTGAGCAGCGTGCCAGGACCAAATACTTTGTGGGCCCAGCTACCCCACCCACTGCCTGAAAAGCCTTTACAGAAATCTCCCTTTGGGGGTGCCTGGGTGGCTCAGTGAGTTAAGTGTCAGACTCTTGATATCAGTGCAGGTCATGATCTCAGAGCTCAGGAGCAGAGTCCCGCTCCAGGCTCTGTGCGGACAGCTCAGAGCCTGTGTGGGATTCTCTCTCTCCCTCTCTTTCCTCACTCCCTCCAAATAAATCAATAAACTTAAAAAAAGAAATCATTTTTGCACCTGTTTTCAGATTGTGCTTATATTTTTAAAATATTTATATAAGTATATAAAAATGGGCCCTGATAACATTAAACAAGGCTGAATCTCAGGCAAAATCACATTGTGTATGAACTTAGTTGAGAATGGATGAACTGACCCCCATCTGTCATAGCAGCTTGGTTCTGTCCTTACCATCTTATAAGTAATCATAAAATTATGAGCTCTTACCAGCTAAGCATTCAAATGAAGAGTTGATTTGAAAAGTTAGGTTACAGAAAATTAAATATTCAGAATTAAAATACAGCTTAATGCTTCTAATACTATATAATAGTTTAGACCATGCTCTATGGAACAAACAAGTCTTTATTGGGTCCCAAATTTTACCATAGTAACTAGCCATGTGAATTTAGGTAAATAACTGAACTTCTCTAAGCCTCAGTTTCCCCATCAGTGAAATTAAGAGGATCTCCTGTACAGGGCTATTGAGGATTGAGATCAGGCACTGAAACTAGTCAGCATGGTATCTGGCTCTTAGCAAACAGTAGCTAATATTATTATTCTCTTTAATCAGAATGTTTGGGGCACCTTTGTCAAATGTTCCACTGAACAAGACATATGGATTTGATAAGCAATAAGTATTACACAAGTTAAGCAAGCAAAGGGTTCATGAATCCAAGACATTCTGTGTCTCTGGCTGTCGCAGGCTGAAAAACAGGGGGCCCAACAGCCGCCATCTAGAATACTTGTCCACTAGACGACAAGGTTTTGGCGTGTTGGGACTGTGCCTTGATCACCCTCTTATCTCCAGCATCTGGCATAGAGACTGTCTTCAGTAAATGCTCTCTGAGACAATAAATGAACATGCAAGGATGTAACACCATGCAGATTGATTCCTTTCCTGAACTCTGGAGCTCACCTAGTTGGCTCAGATCAGAAATTCCATTAAACCGGACCATTTCTACACAATAGCACAAGATTACAATAGCACAATTTCGACTCATCTCAGCCTACCCTCTGAGAAGCTTGAGTAATATGAAAATGTTGATTTATTGATGTTCTAGAGTCATTGAGTGCAAGAGTTAAATTTTTTGCATTGCTGTTGAAGATGAGATCACAAGCAATCATGTGGGTTTTGCACTTATTAGAGAAGGGAGCACTATTAATACCAGAAGTCTGAATCAAAGTGTTTCTTTGTCTTAAAGATCTACAAAAAGACCCATCTTGAACCAATAATTTACATAATAGTTTACAGACACAGGCTTACAAATATTTTAATTTCAAGCCTGCACCTATACTTTTATGTGTATATTTTGTAAAAGTAGAATTTCAATCTGTTTGCAAGCAGGGAAGTAAAGAAACCAGTTCCTTTGGAAATAAAGCAAAAGTAGTTTTGTTTCCACATAGAGTGACCAGTAGCTGCAAAATTGCTGTCCATCTGCTAAGGTGATCCTACATTGTTGTTTCTAAAAAAGCATCTATCAGTTTTTCATTCACAGGCTCAAAACAGAACAAAGTTACTTACCAGGAGCAGCTACTATGAGCCTAGTTCCTTCTGCAGATATGTTCATCCAGCCTGGTTACAGGGCATCACGCTGACTAGAAGTTCCTCGAAAATGCCAGTCTTCCCCGGGGCCTCATGGTGTGACCAGCAGTTATACACCTTGTCCTGACAATTTCGTCTTCTGGATTCCCCTCAAAGTTCCTGACTATAGGCTTCATGGAATTTCATATTTTATACATTTCCTCAGATTAATTGACCCAAATATCTGTTTTCCATGGAGGCAGTAATCACAGAAAAGTGCTTATAGGAAATTGGAAACAATAAAACAAGAAAGAAAGAAAGAAGAATGAAAGAAAGAAAGAAAGAAAGAAAGAAAGAAAGAAAGAAAGAAAGAAGGAAGGAAGGAAGGAAGGAAGGAAGGAAGGAAGGAAGGAAGGAAGGAAAGGAAGGAAAGGAAGAAAGAAACATAGGAAGGAAGAAAAGGAAGAGAGCAGGGCCAAGTGGTCAACTCAGGTCTTTTCTAAATTACCAGGAAAGGTGTTCAGAGAATTAAGAGGTTTTGATTTCCAGGTGTTCAAGTGTGTGAAACCGCTCAGAGACGGCATCAAAGGAAACGCCCTTCTGTTCTCACAAACACCAGGCCTGTTCCGTTAGCAGTTTGGGATTGTATTTCTGAAAGAGGATACATTTCATTAACTGAAAATGAAAACATGCCAACAGAAAGCTCTTCCTTGAAGAAACTTGAAGAAAAAGGGTAAAGATGAAGATAAAATTTCCCTTGAGCATTTTACCAAGAGCGGCCACTCTTTTCACTGTGGAGTGTCAAGTTCTAGATTTCCTCTTTCCTGATAAACAGATATAAATATTGTTGTGGAGTATAAATAAATTTATCAGTTAAAGGTGCACTTAAGAATATCATTTTATATTTGTCTGCGTCAGTTCACTTTATATTCCGAGCAACTCCCCATGTCACTGAAGCATCTTTTCATGTCTGAAGCTGTGAACTGTTTATCTCTGTCAGTTCTGAGGTTCCTGAACTGGTGCAAATTTCTTAATCTCTTTCTGTCTCAAATTCTGCATCTGAAAATAGATGTGATAACAATTCCTATCTCAAAAGTCAGTGCATATTAAATAACTGAAAGTATTTCAATCTTCTTTTAACTGCTTAAACAGGTTCTGGAATACAGTAAAATTGGGGTAATGATTAGTTCTTATTAGTACTACTATCATTTCTCGAATGTCACATTCCATACAGCCAGCCATCAGCAGTTGCCCCGACTTCCATGGTGACAATGCTTTGGTGACCATTCTTACATAGGAACCCACAAAATTAGTCAAAAGTATTTTAGTTTTCTGCATTGATTTTCCACATTCCTTGTTTCCTCCATCCTTTCTCTGGTTGAGTGTTTGCTTGCTTTTATGATTTCCATATGGTTTTCTCTAAATGCTTGTGCATATTAAAAATTGAAGCCTTTCTGCCTAAAACTTTATGTGTCACTCTGCCACATACCATGTGGAGCTGATATGAACCCTGGCTTGGGTCTTCCTGAGAAAAAGAGAAAGGAAGAAGCGAGGATGCGATTTTTCCTCCTGAGGCAACTACCCTATTTTCCCTGCTTTCCAACAACTGCCACTTCTGAAGTGATCAGCACCGAGCAGTTTCACGTTGAGGAGGTCGAGAGCAGTAGACCAGAAGGCCAACGGCCTATGCCTAAGAAGCTCGATTCTTCCTCAGCAAGACAGTGTGTCCTGGGAATGAGAAGGAAGAGGCAGAGGAGGCAGCCATGGTCACTCTGGGGCGAGGTTCCCTCCATCACCATCACTGACAGGCACTTCCTGACAGGCCTTGTGTGTGTGTGTGCGTGTGCTTGTGCGTGTGTGCATGCGTGCATGAAAGGGTGACAGTTGTGAGGAGTGTGTCTAATTGAGGGAGCCCACAATTTCACCTGAATTTATCTAAGGAAGGCTGAGAAAGAGTATCTGGGAGGTGTCCCTCCTATAGTAAGAATGAATTCATTGTTTCCCCAACATACATAAGGTGGGAAATCCTTTGGACACAGCGGAGGGTTTCAGATGCAAGTAGCCGAGAAGGAGGGTGACTCACCATTTCAGATACATTCCTGGAATAATGTATTTTGTCTTCGTTAATTATTTCAAACAGGGAAGCAATGGCAGAATTTATCTTTTAATTCCTTACTTTAAAACTTTTGAGGGGCACCTGGTGGGTGGCTCAGTCGGCTAAGTGTCCAACTTCAGCTCAGGTCATGACCTCACAGTTCATAGGTTGAAGCCCTGCATCGGGCTCTGTACTGACAGCTCAGAGCCTGGAGCCTGTCTTCGGATTCTGCATCTCCCTCTCTCTTTGACCCTCCCCTGCTCATGCTGTCTCTATCTCTCTCGGAAATAAATAAAACATTAAAATAAATAAGTAAATAAAACTTTTGGAAAAACAGGCATTTCATTTTCTTATTTCTCATAAAATTGCTCACAATACTGAAGATATTCTTACGTGATGGGCAATTTGCTACAAATATGTTGATTCCATGATCTCATTTAATCTTCACAAAGCCTCCTAAGTGGATGCTTTCATTATTGTTCCCATTATCAATAGGAAAGTGGAGGCCTTTGACATATCAGGCATTTTATCAAAGGTCTGAAGTAAGGGTCAAAACAGTAAATCACAGCAGAGGATATATATCTTGAACCACATTCTTAAACAGGATACATTATTTCTTCCATATACAGTTATTAGAACATAATATATCACATGTCACTCTGTAATAATAATGTCTACATGTATATGCACACAGGTATATATGTATGTATATGTATTTCTCTGTGTCTCCCCCACTCGCATGCCATCTCTCTCTCTCTCTCTCTCACTCTCTCTCTCTCTCAAAAATAAACAGATAATGGGGCGCCTGGGTGGCTTAGTCGGTTAAGTGTCCGACTTTCGCTTAGGTCATGATCTCGCGGTTCGTGGGTTCGGGCCCCGCGTCGGGCTCTGTGCTGACTGGCAGCTCAGAGCCTGGAGCCTGTTTCAGTCTGTGCCTCCCTCTCTCTCTGACCCTCCCCTGCTCACGCTGTCTCTCTCTCCTAAAAATAAATAAAAACACTAAAAAAAAAATAAATTAACAGATAAATAAGACATTAAAAAATCTGTAAAAGAAAAAATGAGCTTGTTCAGGACACAGCCACCATTCCCTTTCATGGGAATTTGATTCTCATGGTTTTCCCTAAACAGAGGAAGGACTCCCAGTGAGATGATGAATGTCTGAGAAGAAAACTCTACCAGCTACAAATTTCCAAAATATGATCCTCATTGCACATGTTGGTTGTTTACTTAAGTCTGGCTACAAGGTTTGAAGTGCTCTCCATGTAGTTGACCTATTATAATTTCTGCTATAACAGATTTACAAAGCAAAGAAGATATGTGATTCTTCTTAGCTGTTTTTACTCCACTAGCAGACTGGGTTCTGGGACAGACTGTCTGAAAAAGTAAGTCTTCCAGATGTGTGCCCACTGTGACTACTTAACCGTGGCTTCCTGAATGACCCTCATACTGTCCTGACCAGGCTCTGCTGGGCTGGGCGGCAGGTCTGGGACAACCCATATTTGCACACAAATGCCGGAGTATGTTCTTGTACAGTTAACAACACTAAGAGGGTTCAAAGTGACCCAATAATGGATTGGAACAACATGGACTATTTGGAAATATTTCTGTTCTTCTCTAAAAACCAATTCTTCCCTCCCTGAAATAAGTACACTTGAAGAATTTTTATGATGATCACAGGATTTCCTGAACAGACACAACATCCAGCACAATATCTGGTGGCCAATGGAGCAAAGTGGATATGGATTCAATGTTCACTGTCAGCACCTTCAGACTGAGCTTTTCGCCATTACTGAAAATCTCTGTGCACCTTACTTCTCTCTGAGATAATCTGACCATTTCAACATACACAGTCTCCAAATGAGAAGTCAATAGGAAATTATGTCAGCCCAGCCACCTGGGGCAGAGCTAGGGACATCTGTATGCGTGCATTGATGGCCATCAGACTCCCCTTCCTCTTCCCTCTGATATTGAGGCATCGCATAACAAGAACTATATAAAATGCTTCATACAGTGCTTAGAACATGGGAGTTCTCAGTAAAAATGTCTATTATTAAAATTTTATCAGAATTACATTATATTTATTAATTTTCAAAAAGAACCTAATTCTTTCCTTGGCTTAGGAAAGTAAAGCACTAAATAAATCTATTGACCTGTGAGCTACAAATGTTAATTCTACTACTTTCAGAATATAACTGCAGATTTTTGCTAAGCACTCTGTAACTTCACATTAGAAGTTAAAAACAATAAAGACAACAGGACTAGAGTAGATGGGAGCAATCAGTTTTGGTTGAAACAGTTCTATGTTGACTTAAAGGTGGCAAGAAAGTAGAGCGAGGAAGGACAGAAGAGATAGATCAATTATAAGAAAGGTGAGAGGCTGGCTTATCGTTGACATTGTGAAAGTGGCAGACAATTCTCTAGTCCCTTTTAATAAGATCCGAGACTGTTTCACTGCTGTACACTTGTTGATTCTATTAAAGGACATCAAGAACATAGACTGTTTTATCATAATATTGTTTCAAAAAGCACATAATCATTTATCTACACAGATATCTCTTTAAGGTATTTATTTGTTCTACTTAGGTGATGATGACTTACTTAATAACCTGATAAATATCTGGGAATCCCTGATTCAACTGAAGAACAAAAGCATGGCAAATAATCTATGCATTCCTCTCTGCTAAGTTTATCAACTAGAAAAGCACATCCTGTTCTGCTCGAGGTGGGACCTTGGTGGCTTTGTGGAAAGTGAAATGAAAGGAACTGCATAAAATCTCCTGAGTCTTCAACTTGTTTTCTTTATTTGAAGGCAAATATAACCTACTCATTTGACTGTCTGCTTGATTTCATTCTTAGGCTCCCCCAGATGGACTGTCTACCTTTCCTTACCTTGCCCCGGGCATTATGAGGTGAACCCCCATGGGCTGCATGGATGGTCCTCCGTATTCTCTGGTTGCTGCCTGGAAGCAGTCAGTGGGAGCATCAGCAAGAGGCTGGGAAGTGGGAGCAGAGTGAGCTCAGGGCTCCCTCCCTGACTGCCAGCTTAGAGCCTGGAGCCTGTTTCAGTCTGTGACTCCCTCTCTCTCTGACCCTCCCCTGCTCACGCTGTCTCTCTCTCTCTCTCCTAGAAATAAATAAAACATTAAAAAATTTTTTAAAATATTAAAGTAATAATGGTCAAAATATGACTCTCACCTCAACAAAGGTAGAGTTGCTACTATACTCCATACTGTACACTCCAGTGAGTTATTTTTAGTGTTTTTATGAATCAGACTTTCAGACAACCATGTAACTAAAAATCTTTACTTAAGGCAGGGTTGGTGGGCCTCTGGCTGGTTTGTGTGGCGAAACTGTCCAGGGTGAAGCTCATCTTAATCAAAGGAGAAGGGCAGGAGGAAGAAATGACTCCAAACATAGACTTTTTTGTCCCTCTACATAGTGGGTGCTTCTTCCATGTACAAGATCACCGCCTTCTGAGACTGTAATTCAAAAGCAAGGTGGATCTGTGTGGAAAACTGAGATGGACATGGACTTGGGATGACTTCTCACGGGAGTGTCTTTATAGTTAGCTAATTTCTCTCTAACGAAACTATATTAGTCAGATCTCAGAGTCCCCCTCTGTGGGGTAGGGACAGAGAAGGTACACCAAGAGGAAAGAGCTCGGTCGTCTTAGAAAATGGGGCACATCCCCCAGGAGGGAGGGAGGGAAGTTTCTGCCTCCTCGACTCCGGCCTTAACGTTGACCCAGGACTTCAGTAGAGGGTAGATGCTGTTTGGGCTCTTTCACAGCCAGGCATGTCTTAAATACACATCTTCAACCACAAAAACAGAAGCTCATTGAGATAGAGGAGATAGAGCAAATCTGAGAGATCAATTTACTTAAGATCATTTACACTTTCTTTTCGGTAACCATTTTTACCAATGCTGTTAGGCTGTGCTTAGATCTCCTCAGAGAGCTTTATCCTCCCCACACACAGCAGGAGGGGCTTCCTTGTTTGTGGCTGGAACGTAAGTAACATAGCTTTTCTTTTCTTTTCTTTTGTTTAGCTTCTTTTCTTTCTTCATCTTCTTTTGTTGTTTATTTGTTGTTTTGTTTTGTTTTATTTTGGGTCAAGAGGTTGCCTAACTTTATGAGAAGTTAGTGAACATAGTGATATATTTTTTGTATAATCTTGTTTTAATACAGAAACCAGTTACAGAATTTTAGGTAAACCTACAATTTTCAGACGAGAGAACAGAGGTCAGGGAAGCTGGTCCCCAAATCCCATGTGGAGTCACTGTCAAGGAGAAGTGGAAGCCAAAGGGCCCGGGGGTTCATCAAAGGCTGACATGACATCCTGCCCTGAGCTCACTTCCCCCACAGCAGAGGGGGCACCAGGCCTGCCGGGGGCTGAGGGAGCTGAGAAGTCAGCCACACTGCAGCCTGGGCATCAGGTCACGGAGTCTCTCTCACTGCACAGTAACCCGCAGTGGGCGGGGCAGCAGCGCAGACACGGGGGTCAGGAATTCCAGCCTCAGCTGCACCTGTTTTGTGGGTAAATCCAGAGGGTCTCTCAGCTCTGAAATTATTTGCACAATATTTTATTCCCACATTCCTCATTGGAGATGGTCAGATTCATAAATCACCAGACCGTCACAGTTCTGTTCAATAGAAATAAATGTACTTTACGTACCATTTGAAACTATAATTTTAAAAAGTTACAAAACAAAGAAATAAGTAGCAAGGTGAAAGAAATAATTCTAGGACTAATTTTATGTAGTAAATGTACCCTAAATAGTTTTTCAATATGCAATCAATATACAAATTATTAAGAAGTTATGTCATCTTTTTTTATAGTCTCCAGAACATGACTTGTATGCTATACCCACAGCCCATCTCAGCGTGGACTAGTGCACGGCTCCCTTTCAAGTGCTCAGAGGCCACACGTGGCTGGTGCCTAGTGCTCGTGGCTCCTGCACTGAGCAGCTCAGATTCTTTTATTTTTTTTATGTTTTTATTTTTTTACAGATAGTTTATTGTCAAATTGGTTTCCATATAACACGCAGTGCTCATCCCCACAAGTGCCCCCCTCCATGCCCATCTCCTCCTCCCCCCTCACACCCATCAGTCCTCAGTTTGTTCTCAGCACTCAAGAGTCTCTCATGGTTTGCCTCTCTCCCTCTCCCCCACCATTTCCCCCTTCTCCCCCACAGTCCTCCGTTAAGTTCCTCCTAATCCTCCTATACATGCAAACATAGGATATTTGTCTTTCTCTGCCTGACTTATTTCACTCAGCATAACACGCTCAAGGTCCATCCATGTTGCTACACAGGCCAGATTTCATTCTTTCTCATTGCCATGGAGTATTCCATCGTGTAGATAAACCACATCTTCTTGATCCATTCGTCCGTTGATGGACACTTAGGCTCTTTCCGTGTTTTGGCTATTGTTGAGAGTGCTGAGCAGATCAGATTCTGCTCCAGATGCTTCAGAAGCTCCGGCCTGGACCATCTTTAGTAAAGTGCCTCCAGAGGCACCTGGGTGGCTCAGTCCAAAGGCGCTGACTTTGGCTCAGATCATAATCTCATGCCTCATGAGTTCGAGCCCTGCATCGGGCTCTGTGCTGACAACTCAGAGTCCCTCCTTCGCTCTGCCCTTCCCGGCTCATGCACTCAAACTCTCTCTCTCTCTCTCTCTCTCTCAATCTTTCAAGAATAAATAAACATTTTTAAAAAATGCCTCCAGACTGGACAGCTCCCTGGTTCTGCACCAGGCTGCACACCAGCCATTCCTTAGCCTCCTGGGTTATGTGCTGTAGGCCTGCGAGGGCGGCGGCAGTGAGTGTCCAGGGTACTGACAGTTGACCCCAAGAAACCCCAGGGACCCAGCACCCATGGCAAGTCCAGGACTGGAGTGTCCTGGGAAAGGAGACTTTTTGCTCAGGGACCTGGGCTTCGCGTAAGGCTGTGCTGTGCTCTCCCAGGCAGCGCAGTAATACACGCCTTCGTCACTCTTCTCCAGCTTCAGCAGCATCAGGTCACAGCTGTAGCTATCCTTGCCTTTCTTGGCGGTGATTTTGTCCGCTCTGAAGCCTCCATATCTCTGCACATAGAACCTGGACATATCGAGCATGAGGATCCTCTTGGGGGCACTCCCTTCCTGGTGGAGGTACCAGTGGATGTAGCTGACCGAGGTGCTGGCTGTGCAGGACACGGTGGCCGAGCTGCCCCGGCGCCCCACGACCACAGCCGGCTGCTCCATGCTGAGCGCTGCCACGCCACCTGCGAGGGGGACAGCGGTGAGACAGGGCAGGCTGGAGCCTGGGGACACCCTGCTCACCCGCACAGGGACGGAGTCGGGACTCACCAGGAAGCAGGAGGGCGCACAGGACGGCGAGGGGACCCAGCATGGCTCTGCTGCCCACCTGGTGGCGAGAAGCCCAGGGTGGCCTCCCTGCTGCGCCCGCTGGAAGGAGACTGGCTGCGTGGCTGGCAGAGGGCAGGTTAGGGTCTGAGCTCTGCTGCCCTGAGGCACCTGCAGGTGAGAGAGAGAGAGAGAGACAGACAGACAGACAGAGACGCTGGGGGGTGGAGCCAGAGGGCAGAGACAGTTCTGACCACAAAGGGGGAAAAGAACCCCCAATGGTCAGGGTGCTGAGAATACGGAAGAGCTTTGTGCAATAAAAACACGACTAATAATAGCAATCCTTGATTCGACATGGACTATGGAGCCCAGCACGAAGTTGTTTCCGCTCAGTATCACCTCCAAGGCCGCATGCCTGAGGGGACTTAGCTGGGATGTTAGCCGGGTCTGTCTGGGGACAAATCTCAAGCCTCAAATGGCCACTTGGTACTAACAGAGCAATGGGTGCGCACCTGCTTGCAAGGCGGGGACCAGAGCGTGTTGACTACAATACTCTGTGAAACGAATATTCCAGACCATCATTCAGACCCTCCGCAGGTGTCTAGGGCAGCTGTGCTTCAGTGTTGAGTGGAAGAGACAGTGACAATGGGGGTGGGCATCTGCACGGGAAAACAACAGGTGGAAAGAGTCTCAATATAGAAGGTGAGCCATGTGGGTGGAGAGACCCTGGATGAAATTTCTTCTTCCTGCTCTCTCTATTTTCTAGATTTTCACTGATAGGAAAATGTTCCCTTGGGGGAGAAAATCCACCGCCTTTTATTCTTTTATTTAAACAAATTTTATTTCACATTATCAGCGTTCGAAAGCTGTTTCTCTCCATGAGTGTTACCATATTTGTTCAAATACTGCTCCGATGGAAGGCTCAGGAACCGTGGACGTGACCAGGCTGGCTGTTTAATGAAGTGTGTCCCAAACCTGCAACCCAATACTCTCTTGGTAATAAAATTTAGTCTGTAGAATGTGATGTCCTCTATTGAAAGAAGAATAATCCATGGATTGGGGAGTTCCGTGCCAGGGTTTGGGCCAAGTTGGTTGCTTTATAAATAAAATGATCAGCCTCAATTCAGTACAATGTAATTCTTATAACTATATGATGACATGTCAAGTTAGTTATAACAACCATATTTGTCAGATCAGCTGTTGAAGTCTTAAAATGGTTCGCTATGTAGGGTCGCATAAGTAATGGAACCTTGATTCAAATCCAACTCTAAGAAATTCCAAAACCCGTCACACCATCCATTCCTTAAACATACAATGGCACACATATGTATATAATTTATTTTAACTATAAAACTATGGAGTCATGAAAAAATATTCAGAGGGATTGCAGAACCCAGGAATGACTCTCACATGCCAATAAGCAAAGAGCATAAGTGATTCTTGAAGAGTGGCCATGCAGTGAGCAGTGCTGGACCTCAGATCACAATAGAAATTAATCTAGAATTTGTGAGTTAATACCTACCATCCTTTTGTAAGAGTTGAGTTTCTTAAGGTGATACCAGAACTCATTGGTCCATTAAATACTATCACATAAACTTTATTGAATGCCAAACACGGTACAGCTGACCCTTCCTTGCGAGCATGAAGCAGGTGTCATTCACCCCGTCCTGCAGATGCGCCACGGGCTTAGGGCGGTCAGGTAACTGACCTGAGATGCCGAGGCAGGCAGAGCACAGCAGAACTAACTTCAAGTCCTCCAGGTGAAGGAAGCACGTGCCCCAGGCCAGCTGCTTGGACGTTTGTGAGTCAGGGATCAAATTCCGTCCTCACTGAGCTGTTGCTTCAAATGTAATTTGTGATCTTGTTCTATTTCCTGCCTAAAATCGAGGGGATTTGCGTGTCACTTGCACTGACACCTAGCGCCCCCTGCCGGCCACCGCGGGGACGTCACGCGCCTCCCCCCTCCGTGGCGGAGCCCGGGTGAGCCTGGCCCCACAGGTACTCAGCTCAGTGAGGGAGCAGCCAGGCCCTGGGCAGGAACCGGTCTCCCCACCTGTGTGCTGCGCGTGCTTGGGGGTTTTAGGTGCGGGGCTGCCCTCTGCCGGTGCCGTTTCCCAGCTTCAAGTGAGACGATGGCCCGGTGCGTCTGGTGTCCGTGGGCCCGTGGAAACTCCGGAGAGCGCGGGTGACTGACGCATCCTTCCATCTGCGCGAACCGCATCGCACCCCGTCAGTCCGTCCGTCATCCGTCCGTCCGCTCGGTCCCCCGCCCCCCGTGCTGCCCTCCCGCCGCGGGTGCGGACACCGCGTCACCCCCCCCCCCAGGGCGCCAGGCCCGCGTCCTGGGGCGTCCCGGCCGCACCCGCGGGGCTCTGCGCGGGGTGGGGGACGCGTCCCGGGTGTCACCCCGGGGCGCTGGGGCTGGACGCACACCTACACGCTCTGCACGAACACCCCCGGGCCGCGCGAGCTGGTGGCCGCAGACGGGCCACGTGGCGGCGGCCGGCCCGGCCCCGGCCTCCCCGGGAGCCAGCGGGGGCCTCTGCCCCTGGCGCCCACTGCGGCCTCTCCGCCGAGACGCGGCTGACCCTGACCTTCAGGCACCGCGGGGACGAGGCCGGCGGTCCCCGGGCTGTGCCCCCCGCACCCGGCTTCGCGCCGTGTGGCTCCGATCCTCTTCTGCACAGACGCCAACCAGCCCCCCCGCAGCGGTGTGTGAGGATTAAATAACAATACACGTGCAGCCCTCGGGAGCCCGGCCAGTCAGCATTGCTTTTATCACATTTCCTATCCTCTCTGATCTATTACACCTACAAATACAAATAAATATGAATATGCATAAAACAATTATTTTAATACAGTCTTACAAATATATTGCAAACGCAAAGAAAGATAAAATGATATAAACTTTACATTATCAAACTAATTAAGATTATACTCATTGTTATAAAGAACTCGTTGAACTGAAGCACTTTAGGGCTCTGAGGGAATTACCCTTTCCGAGTTGTAGCTGTTAGAAAGGTCCTCAGCTAATCTATCAAATGTCTCACCTTTGTCTAAAGCTCACGAAATAAAGAGTCTCAGTTTTGCGGTCAAACCACCTACTTCACATATTTTGCTGTCCTGCTCAAGAAAACGTGTCCTTGTCAGAATCATAAAAGGCTCCTCGTTGCCTGTTATACGCAGTTGGAGATTTCCCCCCACGCGGGCCCGGCGTTGGCGGGTCTGCACGTCTCTGAGCTCGTCACTCCCTGAGTCTCTCCTTATTCGCCCCCCGCTCTGGTACATCAGGTCCCTGGAGCCGGGTCAGAACACAGAGAGGGTCGGGAGGGACTTCCGCAGGCCCTGGGGAGATGGGGACTGAGTTGTTCTGTTTCTACACCGAACGCATGAGGAGCCCGGATGGGAGCTGGTGGAGATTCGCGTTCACTCTGGATGAGCTTAGCTGAGTCCAGTTACGTAGGGAAAAGAGTAATCAAATGAAACATATTAACAGTTCTCTTGTATAAACATTGGGCCACTTTGGACTTTCCTGTTCGATATATTCTATTAATATTAGGTACCTATACACACAAATTATGGGAAAAAACTGAGGCTGTTGTGAGATGTTGCTGATTTTGAAGGTGATCAGATGTTTGCTGATACGTGGACGTTAGGACTACATTGCACGAGTGTCAGCCTGTAAATTCAATTAGGGTCAGAATGTAAAATGCCTCCTCTTCCAGGAAGCTCACTCTGACAGGGGTGTGTGTGTGTGTGTGTGCTTGGTGATGTGCTAACACACGTTGACTCTGCACCTGCTGAATACTTCTGAGCTTGACACCCATGTCCCCTGACCTCCATTCTGTCTGTCAAGGCTACTGCGGGCAACACTCAGGTCAGTTGTCACATGGCTGGAGTCCTAGTTGCGGGGAGGAGAGACAAGGCTCAGGCCTTGTGGGAATGTCTCTGGCTTCTCCAAACAACAGGGGGAGCCCTGTCTCTGTATTTCAGGGGTCCCTCCTATGGGGAGAGGCCTTTGTCGGCTGGACCTTGTTAGGGACAAACTTTAGTGTCCCAAAACTCCAGCCTACTAGACTGATGGAAGATGGTGTTCTGCTAGACCGTAGGGGGAGGGGAGTACGAGCAGCCAGTCAGGGATCCGTCGGCTCAGAGAAGCCCACTTAGGCCCAGGCTGGAGACGCGGTGACGTGGGAGGGGCGTCTAATGTTTCTGAAGTGTTCTTGGTTTAATACTGAGTCCCAAGTGAGAATATCTCTGTTGACCTTTTGTTGCCATACTTTCCTTTAAATCTTTCAATATGGTTCTGTGTACGTTTTGAACACATTTCTAAGAGCTGCATGGAAGTCTTTGCAAAAGAAGGTATCTGGACACACTCAGGGATAGCTTGTATTGAGTTGTGGGGACTTTTCTTCCTAAAAATAGACACACTTTCCTGATTCATTGCTTGTCATCTTATTTTTTTAATGAAAAGCATTTGCTTGAAAACATACTGCTTTCACTCCTTTTTCCACCAAAGGTTGCTCTCGTTGCTCTTTAAACGGGGAGAGAGTTGCTTGGCCTAAATCTCTGATATTCTATCCCCTGCAGTATGTGGTTTTTCAGCACTCTCCTGTGTTCATTATTAGTTATTTTATTTTCAAACTCACCTCCTAGGGATCACCTCTTTGTCTACATAGCTTACTCGTAGCCAAGATTAGCTAGGGACTGTGTTCAAGTGCCTTGATGAAGACGTCAACCCTCTGCCAAATGGACATATGATATGGATTCCGTAGCACAATCACATTTTAGGCAGTCAGCACGTAGACTGGATGAGCTAAAGTATGTCTTCCCAGCTTACACTTTTCTGAGTCCTTTCACGGCGCCACAGTATTTGATGATCACCCCAAGGTCACACGGCTGTGTGGGGCTGGCTTGGGCTCTGTGGTGTTTCCGCCAAGCATGCCCCCAGCACAGCCAAGCACACGCTTGCTGCAGCCATGACCTCCACCTCAGACCAGCACAGCTTCCGCCTTCCTGCCTGTGCACCCCTGAGTCTCTCGGTTCACCCTCACATCACTCCCCGCCCCAAATCATCTGAGCTCCCTCACACTGTGTGAGTTCGCTGCCCGGCCTCATGGCCTCTGCTACTTGGAAGGACCCTCATGCCCACGGAGCCGGGTGTTGAGCGGTGGGGGAGGAATGGGAGTCTCTCTAGGCCAGAGCACCTCTCTTGGTCCCTGATGTGCAGCTTCTCAGCATAAACACGTTCAGATCGTGGCATGAATTTGGACGTTTCCCAATGACATAATCGGTTAGTTTGTTCGATCTAGTCCAGTTCAGTAGGTGGTTTTCAAGGAGAAGACTTGTTGACCAGAGCCAGAAGGCCTGCCTTACATCACTTTTAGATTCTGCAAAGCATACCTATTATGTTGTACTGAAATGTCTATTTAGCACTCTCAAATACTTCCAAGACATCTTGGCTACCTGTGGCTCAAGTGCCATTACCCGGACAGGTGGAGGGTAAGCCCGGAAACAGGAAGACGTGCTATGACCATCTTCCTCAGACTCCTGTCCAGGTGGGAAGGATGTCTTCTGCCCCAGTGTGGGTATAGCCGTCCAATGGTCCGGAAAGTGAAGCCTGCCAATAGCTATACTCTTACCTACGTATGTCACACAAACTTCACCTGACTGTGTGACATGTGTGAGGTCAAGATGTGAGACACAATCTTTTCTTCAGATTCTCTGCTGTTCATTCTCCTGGACCCGATTTGCTCTGGCTCTCACGCAGCAGACACCTTCAGGAAAAGACAATGTCCGATTTGAGGTGTGTTATCTGCCAATAGGAAAGCAAAGGTGAGGCAGGTGTCTCCCCTGTGTTTGAGGATGCTCCTTGGTTTTCCAATGACCACATTTTTTTCTATTTTTCTTCCCCGAACGTGAGATTAATATATGCTTTTTGTAAAAATGTTTGCAGAACAAAATCAAAGAAACTGCCCTTCAAAATATTCTCCCACATCAGCGTTGACAGTTTCATTTGTCCCCTACTCCTTTTGTCTTTGTAATTATTGTGACGATACTGTCGATATACTTATTCATGGTTTTAATAATCATAATGTAAAAATAATGAAGTCCGTTTGTGGCAAAAACTTTCAATCAGACATGATTGAAGTCACCTGGTTATTTTCCTCTCTTCTTTCTGATTTTCATGTAATGATTTGGGGTTTTATTTTTATAAATATATTCCAGTAGGATATAAGGTTTTTTCACTGCGTAGTTCCTTTTCTGCATAAGTGAGCGTTTTCCATGATGTGTAAACTACATACATATAATTTTAAGTGAACTGTGTTTATTTCATTGAAATAAAATAATTATTTAACTTTTCTTCTTTTCTGAGAAATTTATTTCTTCTATTTTTTGTGGAAGGATAATGTACATAATGGAAAAGAAGTATTATTTTGTCGGGAAAAATACAAAATGTAACGACGGGGTCGAATGTGCATTTGTGCAGGTCAGATCGAATGTGCATTTGTGCTTGTTCTAAGAAAGGACCAAGTGACAGAAGTGCCATCAAGATGGCTGGGGAGTCTGAGAACTAGCCAGAAAGACCTTCTTATGGTGGAGAAATGGGTGAGAAGGGTCTGCAGATACTGGACTTTGGACTCAAATCTCAACAACTCAGTGCTGTGGTCAGATTCAGATTTTCCCATCTCAGGAGTGGAGTTGCACATACACCAGGCTCACAGAGGATGCTTAAGCTGGTTGTCAGTGTATAATTTACCATGAGAAAGAGCTGTCTCCTACACATGCTCGGCTGAACAGTAACATGTGCCCCATGTTCATGGAAGCCAACTCTCACCCAGAAGTTGGCTCTCAAACACAAGACAAGAGAAAAGAAATCTATGGTGAAATGTGCTATGAAGTCAAACCTGGAACGCCTAAAGCGGCGACCTCAACAATAGAGTTTTGTTTCCCCAGGGACTGGGCAGTTTGGGTCCCAAAACAGGGCACCCTCTCCGTACCATGCTTCAGTGGGAAGGGGGTGGGGGCACTTACTCTTGTGTTCACATAGCTGAACAGCTCTCCTCTGCTGGACCCCTTCACATCGATTTGACTTGCATGTCTTCTATTCAACCTGTTCTGATGAAGCTTGACTCTACAGTCATCAGTTCTGTAGAAGGACTTAGATGAGTCTCTATATGACATTTAATGACACAACTGTTCGGGACTTCCATATGTCTGTGTTCTTGTGAGGAAAGAAGCACCTCACTGCTTCCATGTCTACAGTCCCCCTGTGCTAATAGGATCATGGGTACTGGTCTTGTGACAACCTGTCTATCCACCAAAAGATGAGACTGAAAAGTATGAGCCCCAATAAATCACATGTGATGGAAAAGTGCAGGTCCAGAGGATGTCAGGATTTCCTGGGGATATTGGAAGGCTGTGGACTATTTCCTTTAGAGCAGTGTCAGCAGAATGGACTGAAGGGGCAGCATCTCAACAGCCCTGGTCATACGATTCCTGTGTCATGAAGCAGCTTCTTGGAATGAACTGGGTTCAAAATAGCTCAAGCCTTCACCCACAGCCGAGGAGCATGTCTGACAGCAATGCATACATGTGCAGATGGATATTTTCTTTCATTAGCTGTGGCCTTTTGGAAGTGAGCAAAGTTGGCTGTGGTTTAACCGCCCTTATTTTATCTTACAAAACTTACTACCACTTGCACAGCCCCAACCTGTAGGGGCCGGTTTGACTTCAGGTATTTTCCACGAATCAACCACATTTGACAGAGCACAGAGACGAGAAAAGCCTGAGAAAATAAAGCACCACCACACACCAGCGCCTTCCTGCCCCCCACACTGTCCCCTGCCTCACTGCACTCCCCCTCTCTGCACCTGCCCGTCCAGGGCACCCCAGGATGGGTTGGGGAAGGAAGGGGCTGAGGAGCTGAAAGTCAAGTCACTGAACTCAGCCCACCCAGCTCTGGTCATTTTCCAGTTCCCCCTCTTTGCCTCTGTGCCTTCCACATGCAGAAAGAGTTCCAAGTTTCTAAGTAGAGACCCAAGTATCTGATCTAAAGAGGCCTGATGACATTCCTGAAGCTGAAGGAGTGGATGGAAAGTAAATGTCCTCCTTCTTGTACTTGGTGGGTCTTGTGTTGTTCCCACATGGGAGCCTCTCCTTGCTTTCCAGAAGCACCTGTTTCACAGAACCAGAAGCTTCTTGTAAATAAACAAACCCTTTCCAATCCTTAATGAGATTTTTTTCTCACTCTAATATATAAGACATTTTACTTTTAATGCATTTCTTAATGGAAATAGAAAAATATACAATCCCTTTATTTCTTTACCCACCTGCCACACACTGAACATTTTGTTTCACATCCCCGTTGTGGACACACACACACACACACACACACCCATATAAATGAGTGTCCTGCTTATTAGTGTCTGAGCACACCCCACAGGCATGGGCCTTGTTACACTGTCACCAGGATGGAGTCTTAAAACAGAGAAGCCTGAATCTGCTGCCTTTAGGGACATTCATTGCTTGGGTTCCCCTGGGGCCAGTGCCCCAGAGAGGGCATCACAAGGACTCGCTCAGGGAAAGAATTAAACATGTGGACTTGACCATGATCACACCTATGCTGAATTGGAAGGCTCAGTTGTCATGCTGTCCCTTATCTGGTATTCAGATCTCACCAAATGAATATCGACACAGGAAAAGGTAGATGTTTGGTTATTTTTATTGTGCCTATTATGAAAAACAGTACCAAGTTCAGGTAGCAAGGATGGCGGCTTACAGGTGTGTAAAACAGAAGGCCTCCAGGCAAGTATCTGGATAAAGAGCCCCAGGGACACTAGGGAAGCTGCCCTCTGGCTGTGCTCAGAGGCCAGGGTGCCGAGTGGCTGAGGAGCCGGTGGAAAGTGAGGAGAGATCGGAGCCGAAGCTCATGTGGCTGCCCTCCGGCACCCCCACCCTGAGTCACGGCAGACTCTGTTCTTGGAGCAGAGTTACCTTTCCCGTTTGCCCAGGGGTTTGTGAACCCACTCTGCAATAGGGACACAATAGAAGCAGACACCTGTGAACTCTAATGCCCCAAACCCAGAAAGGAAGCCCCGCTAATTCCTCAGCAGACACTTTTTGTGACAAGAGCCGATGAAGAAAGGTGGACCCTTGGTGCCGCCATGGGTCAGGATCCCTTCCCGTTGTCTCCCAGCGCTGCTCTCCCAAGCAGACCAATGACGATGAGGATGGAGTAGACCCCGCTCTTGGCCAGGAGGAGGACGTAGGTGTAGTAGGCAGAGGTGCTCATGCGCTGCAGCTGCAGGGCGTCTACAAAAGGCCATTGATTAGTTTCACCTGTTCTTTTGAAAGGCTGGGACTTAGTTTGGGAGCTAGGTCACAGCACACATTTCTGATGACCTGGGTGATGTGACTCTCCCATCAGTACAACTGGAGTATAAACATCTACACCACCATCCCCACTGCCTCCACTGTCAAGACAAGTCAGAATCCAGTTTATAGGCCAAGTTAGTAAAAAAAAAGGAAGAAAGAAAGAAAGAAAGAAAGAAAGAAAGAAAGAAAGAAAGAAAGAAAGAAAGAAACCCACAAAAGTCACTTAGAACGTTCCAAAGAATTAAAAAATAAGATTGGGTTTAGAATGAAGAGTCCAATGGGGAAAAAAACCCATTGGTGATACATAGTGGTTAGTACTTTTCCAACCCCACCATGTCCCAGTGTAAGAATAAGAGGCAATGTTCATTAACCACACTTCAATGTCACTTATTTGAGAACTTGGCATAGAAAGTTCTGATTTAATTTTTCAATAACATAGATGATTATTATTTTCATTCCATTTTCATGTAAAGGGGCGCCTGGGTGGCTCAGTCAGTTGTAAGTCTGACTTCAGCTCAGGTCATGACCTCACGGTTCATATAAACTGAGTATAGGGAGAGAAGCAACTTGCCTGATTTCATGCAACTAGTAAGGACAAGAAGCCAGATTTCAATCCAAGCAACATGGCGTTTAAGGAACCGTTCTCAACTACTCTATAATTCTGATACCTCATGTGCAATAAATACCCAAGACATCAAGTGTTTACGGATAAAGTTGGATTTTGATGTTCATGACGATCATGATGATGAGCCAGAGTCCAGGATCCCCTTGATATTGGACTTGGAGGCCAGATCAGCAGGATTAAAGCCTATGCTCCTCATCATTTCCTCTGTGCATTCATGGGGAGAAAGAACCAGGAACTAGTACTTCTCATGTAGCTGCTGAAAGAGATACCCTACGCTAGACACTCCACCTATGGGGCCTTATGTTTTCAGTAGCCGAGTTGGGTGTTATTTGTGTCATTTGTGGTTGGCTCAGAAAGGGTAAATATTCTACCCAGATTCCTGCAAATAAATAATTAAAGACTGGGGCTTACATCTGGATTCTGGCATCTGAACCTCTGCCTTCACACCCCCTCCCCATGTGTGCAGCCAGTCTCAGGGCCTTGGCTTTGGAATTTAGAGGAAGAATAAAAACTGAGTAAGTGTAAGAACTCTCGATTCAGAGGGTCTGGGTTGAAGCCCCGGATCTTGTTGTGTGGCATGGTGCAAAGGACTTAGTTAATTCTAGCTCACTGTCCTCATGTGTAAAGTGAGAATAAAATACTTCATAGTGAATATTAAGAGACTTAAACAAAACCCACTCACAGGACACTCAACGCCTTCTGTAACAGGAGCCTCTCAGGGTTAGTTCATGTTATTAACTACCAGCAAACACAAAGACCTTAAAAGACCTCCCAAAGCTACATGATACTGTATTTTCCTAAGTTAGTAGAAACAAAGACCACAGAAATGAAGTCCATTGATGAAAGCCTATTGTTGAAAGCCCTGAAAGGCTTCGTTCAGAGCCCCTGACTACACTCCTAATTTATAGCCCTCCCATTCCCAAGCCAGAATTTACTGTGTGAAGATGAGACCTGCGAAATCATGGACTGACTTAAGTTGTACCAAGTCTATTTTGCAAGATCCAAACACTGTGAGATTTCTACCTGAAGCCAGGGGAAGTTCAAAAGTTAAGTTGATCGATCAGGAGGAAAAAATGCCATAGTATAACATAAAGGCAAACAGAAAAACTTACCATTTTCATCTCTCAGAGAAGCTTTTGTGGAGTTAATGGCAGTGAGCTCTGAAAGAAATGAAAGCAAGTATTATTCAATTATTCATATCCATTATTTGACACGGTCTATGTTGTGGATAGTTGTGGAATTATAGTTGTGGAAAGATAGGTAGATTAGAAAGATACATACATACATACATACATACATACATAGAATCTGTCAACAAACTGGGGAGAGCCATTATAAGTAGGAGCCCCACAATTCCAGAAATGTTGATCTGATACTTTGTAATTCAGTAGATCAATTCACATATTGTATTTCTGCACAAGAAGATGTTGAAGTTCACGATCTTCTTTCTTTTCTCCTCACAACTGGAGGGTAATGTGGAAGACTATCTTGTTTTCCCTCTGTGCTCACAGCTCCTAGCACAGCGCCTGTGGCTACGTAGGTGTTCTGTACATACTTGCTGAAAGGAAAAATAACCAGCAACAGCGGCTGCTGTAAAGTCCCGAGTCCATACCGCTCACATGAAGCTCTATCAGCAAAATGAAATCATCAAACCCGAGAATCCACAGCAGAATCATACATGTTTGAAGGAGTCTGCTTGTGTCAATTTGTCACTACACTGAAGGAAGAAGCCTTATCTTTCCAAATCCTACACTTCCCAGTAACCAAACTCCAGCACATGATTTTCTGAAGTGGACGTGTTTGTGGACATGACACCAATGCTAATAAAAGCTGATACCTAAAAATGATTATTACTGTCCCCAGCACTCGGGGAGAGTTCACATGCATTATCTCATCTGATCCTGGTGACACTGGCATGAGCTGAATTTGGAAGACTCCATGTTACACACAAGCAAATATGAGTCAGATTCTAGGTACCTTGTTGTGCATCACACCAGACACGGGCAGAGCCAGCACCCAGGGATGGATGTAGGGGTTAAGACGAGCTACAGCCTGTGCAAAGTCCCTTGTACCGCAATCCACATACAAACTGAACCTAGAGCACCAGTGTGGACTCTCAGACATCATGTCTCCCAGGCATATGCATTACTCTTAGCAAATGACCATTTTGATACAGAGGCTCAGGATCCCAGTGCACTTCTTTGCTGGGACAGGAACTTGCAGGCCAACACGTTCATAGCTGTCTGAATATATAAAACCTACGGTGACAGTTGTATTTATCTACCATGAAAACAAACAAAACAAATGGAAATAAAAGAACACCCAACATACATACAAAGACAAAATTCCTTACAAAGATCATTGACCGGGGGACACAGAGAGTCGCGAGGTTGGTTTGATTTATCCTTTTTCTGCTCAGTGTGTCCCTGTCTCCACACACGGTTCTGGCGTGCCATTTTAGGCATTCCACACAGTCTGATTTTGTGCACTCTTAGAGAAATGGGTTTCCGGTTTAAACTTTTAGGTAAACCCCAAGAACAAAAATGTTAGTATCATTATGTGAAATATTAAAATATTCCCAAGAGCTGACTTAAATGTCCCTTTCGTTTCCCTACAGGGACTTTACTCATTGATACTAATAGACAGCAGTATTGTACCTAACTGAAATTAAAATAAAACCTTTTTAAAAAGGTAAACAAATATCTTTTATCATCCATTGATTAAAGGTAACATTTTTTCATAAAAAATTTGTTCATGTCCCAGGTGCTCTTTCTCAATCGTAGCTGGTCAGACTCGGACAAGATGATCTTTATCTCTCTTCAGTATCACATCATTTTTTCTCCTTTTTCATGTATATATCTATATCTATATCCACACACATATACAAGCCTTTATCATAAACAGAACAGTAAAAATCTTACAAGAAGCAGCACTAGAAATCTGTTACAGAATTACATTAACAGAAATGCCCCATTAACTTTGTTGTTTAAAGAAGACCTCGGGATACATTTATTGCAGAAATAAGTGCCAAGTGAGACATGTCATAACCAGGAACTTCCCCCTTACCCTCGTCATCACTAAGGAACTTATTACACTTTTGACTTTTCTGTGATCACTGGAAAAAGGAAAACCTAAAGCACACTTCAGCCCAGTGTTTCCATTAAATTTAAGTTTTGCTCATTTGTTTCCTCTGTGGCTTAGCTGTAGACATGAAAAGTTAGAGTGGTCTGTGTAATGTTATTTTAATTACTTTTGGGAAGGGATATACATAAATAGAGTAAATGTAGGAATAAATTCATCCATGCTGTTTTCAACAGCAAGCATTGTCACTGACATCATTTTGTGTGCTCTCATCACAGCCCAGGTGAAAGCAAAAGTGAATGCTTGACCCTGATTTGATCACTGGCCTAACGAAAAACCTGGGAAGTAACAAAAATTCAACTGAGTACATTTGAAAGATTTAATTGGTTGTGTAACAGATCTATGTATGAATCGGGGAGCTTCTTGTCCAGCAAGTAAAGGGGAGCTCCAAAGGGCCACAAGGAAAGAAGTTTTTCGAGATGGGAAGGGAGGGAAAAAGAAGTTATTAGCAAGGAAATCATGGCTTTAGGCAGGTGACCCACCTCAAGGGGAACAGAAGGAGTCAACCAGTCAACTTCCTAGTGCCGACAAGGACATTCCATGTCCACTGGTCAAAGGCTACTGTACTAGCTGTTGAAATTGCAGTTGGGTAGGTAAGGAGTCTCGGTTGATGGACTTGGGGCCTTCAGCTAAGTGAGGCAATTTTGAGTCTGTGGTTTTCTTTTTAATAGCCCAGCCTTTTGATCAGACCCCCAGCCTAACTGAGAGATGAGACCAAAAATGGTGGGCATTAACATCACTCTGAGCAGCTGCTCTGAGGGTCTCAGTTTTTGTTTCTGCTCTTGTGATATTCACGGGCCTTGACCTTTTGGGTTAACCCCAAAGGGTGGGTCGTTCTCTTTGTTCTTTTGAGATATTCCAGTCTTAGGGAGACCACTTGTCTGTTTCTGAACTTACATTTAAAGCTTTAAAGAGAACATATTCACCAGGAATATGATGATGCTTACTAGACACAAGACACTTCCAATGTTTGAAGTGCAATTTGAGGCCATGGTCCCCAAGATGCAAAGCAATTAAAATCAAATAATGAAGAAAGACTCTTCTGAAGCCATCACACTTTTTAGCCAAGTGGCTTGCTCAGTGATCTGGTGTCTTGGAGGTTTAGTCTCCCCAGATCTGTTAATCTGGGTCTAGAGAGTGATCTTGCTTAGAGCTCAGACCCAGGCTTGCTCAGCTAAGAGATAATCAAGGGCTATCTTATTTTCAAGGATTCCTCTGGCCAGAGTCTAAGAATTTTGATGGGCAGCCATTGCTTTAGTAAGAGACTCTGCAACAATTTTCAGAATGAAGGAGAAGGTCTTGATCAAACCTCATTTACGCTGATCCTTAGCTAGGGAAGTAGGTCCCCACCAAAGGAGTGAATCCTGGTCATGAAAGCTTCCTCTTAGGTCCCTTCGAACTCAAGGTGTAAACTGAAGGGAGGAAATCAATGAGATGTCTTATTTAGCTTCAGCAAAGTTACAAACAAGGGTAGATTTTCCCCGAGTCTGAAATTAAACCTTGCTACAATTCAGAACGTTATCCTTGTTGGCTGTGATCTGGGAGACACAGGTGATGGAGTCATCTCTCCAGGCCATTCGCTGGAAAGAAAAGGAGCAAAGATTTCACGTTTAGTTAAAGTGTGCGATCTTGATCCCTTGTCTTGGGCATAAGCACTCTCCCTGCCTGTCAGCTACCTCACTTTCTCTCCATTTGAGTCAGAACCATCCAGTGTCTGTCAGGACCCGGGGGCAGGTGGAGGCTGTTGCCATGCAATGTGCACCCGAGCCTCATCACATTTAGCGTTACACAGGGGCACCCGGGAAGCTCCCTCTCCCACTGGGGGTTCGAGGGCTGTCTCCCTCTGATGACGTGTCTAAAATACCCAATCACCGGGCTGTAAACTGTGACCTTTTAAGTGTGGTCCTGGAAGGCTAACTTAACCTGGTAATGACAGCCTTGAGTATGAGACATGACGGACGTACACTAGGTGGACAGACTAACATGTGGCACAGGGATCAGCAGAACGTGGCACACGGAGAGAAGGTCAAGTTTGCAAGGTTTTCCTTCAGACTCCTATTATTTGTCCACTAAAATAAGAGCCTTAGTCCCTGGCCATCACGGAAGATGGGCCCCGAGGGGGAAACCCACTTTTAACAGTGTCTTTGCCACAGTGAGGGCATCAGCCTCTAGTCCGAGAAAGGCTTTAACCTACCCAGAAATGTGCCAACAATGACAAGGGCGTGTGGACAGCCCCCACCAAATGGCAGTGGCGTGAAGTGTGGCTGCAGGTGTTCAAAGGGTCTCGAGGGAGGAGGTCTGAAGCCTTTGCAGAGAAAACAGGTTTTCTAGGACTATGCACCTGAAAGGTTAGACAGCGATTGTAAGCCACTTTGTACTATTTTAGAAGTCTTACCACTGATGTCTGTTTATAATATAAGTCACTCTTAAGCCCCATGGTGGGCGAAGGAATGAAAAAACAAAACCCAAGGAAATGGGGTTTGCCCGGGAGCCAGGAGGAACCAAGTGGCTGTCTTGATGTTCCCTCAGCCCAGACTCTTTCTCGAACACACTGCCATTGTTTGCACACCTTGATTTCTCTGAGTCAGAAGCAGACTCGTGCCATGTTCAAGGACATCAGGACAGCAAATGTCTGGCAGAACTCAGACTTTATCCCCATGTGCCTTACGTTGTATTTGTAGGAAACCCTTAGTATGTGTTTTTATTTGACAATGCTTCCCACGTAATTTAACACATTAAAGAAACCAAATTAATTTAGCATAGCTTTGGGAATGTACCAGGTCAATGAGACTCAAACACTAAATAAAACAAACAAGCAAACAAACAAACGCAAAAAACCTCTTGCCCTTATGACAGAGAGAAACCAAATCCTAATGCTACACCTGCCTGCTTTTGATTTGAAAATCCTTCATCCCAATCTCAGTCAGTCCTGACCACACATAACATCCCTTTCCAAACATCCCCGTTTTACAAACCTTTACCATTTTCTCCTTTACATTCAGAATCTGTCCTGAGTTGGCCCCCTTTAGATGACCAGCCTCGCTACAGAACAAAATCCCTTTATATATTTGCCTTCAAAAATATAAGTCTATTCATCATTCTTTTTCTTACTGCAAACACACATCTTACTTTCATTGCATTCTGGGTTGTTTCCCTTCCTATTTCCAGTAGTCCTCATTAAATTATTAGAAATATTGACCCTTAGAGACCCTCATTTTTAATGAAAACTAACAGGGAAGCAGGTGTGCACTGGTAAACAGTATTCTTTACGTTGGCAAACTTATAAATATATTTCATAATTTCTAGACACATGTGCTTCTTCAAAGAACAATCTTTCAGTAAAGCACAAAATAACTCTTACAAGCAGACGGACACGTAATTTCACTTTCCAGAAGTAGATAAACCCATGTTCGTTAATTAATAATTTATTATCCTATCATACTTAGAAATGATCTAGATATTTAATGAATGTAACTTATTTTAACAGGTGCTCTAACTCAACACAACTTTAAAATTTTAGCCTCCCAACATTTAAATTAGCCTCTAAACTTTTAAAAATCTTATCTACATGTACTCCATTTACTTGTTCCTAACAGTTTAGCTGAGATCACCCATACAAGTGTTATGAGACCTGGGGAGCGATGGGTTAAATGGGTGATGGGGATTACAGTGCCCTTGTCCTGAAGGGCACAGGGTGATGAATGATGTGCTGAATCTGTATTTTGTACACATGAAACTAGTATAACGCTGTGTTCTAACTAACTGGAATGAAAATAGAAATACATAAAAAGTAAACTTATAAAACATCAAAATTCGTCAATCCCCCAAGCCCTTTTTTTTCTTTTTTAACATTTTGTACCTGAGATCACGTCTACTTGCTTGGCTTTTAGTAAACCCGGCACCTGGAAGTTTTCATGGAAGTGCTGATAAAGCAATAGAGAAATGTCTATTTTATTGAAAGCAACAACCGAATATTTGCCCAGATCATGTGAAGTTGAAACACATGTGGCTAGTTTCTATCTCTCTGAGAGATTTAGAATGTCCAGGCTTCACAAGTGTTTGTACAAAAACCAAGGAAATAGAGCTCTTTGCAAACAAACCTTCACCACACTTGCAGAGAGAAAAATACCTCACACTGACGACGTGTGTCTGTGGACACACAGATTGCTGCGATGAGCATAGAATCACTGACACTTATCACAAAATTTATGGAGAAAATATTCAGGTATGCATGCGTCCCTGGAATTACGAAGCACACTGACCAGGGATTAGGCACAGGAGGCCTTTAGCAGTTGGTAGTTTAAAAAGGCGTCTTGCCTTACTTTCCCTCAGTGGCAATTGTGGGCTGTGTTTACATTTCAAAGACATGAGAAGATGGGTCACTCTGAGGACAGAGAAAGAAGGCAGGTGTCTCCAAGAAGGACTTTGCTTTCCTAAAGCCGATCCTGTGTAAGCCCATTTCCAGAACCCGGAGTAGTGGGGGTGGGTGAAGGGACGGGGGAGCTCTGCATGGCCCCCAGAGCTGCGTGTCTAGTTCTGTCCACATTTGTCGGGACAGCTGCTCTCAGCGTCTAAGACTTGGATTTACGTGAAATGACATCAAAGTTTGATCCAAGCGCATGAGCCTCAAATTGCTCCCTTCCCTCTGAGTGCATGGCTTACATTTTAAGTATTCCCGGCAGATGGAATAGCCCCCCTTGGGTGTAACATGGGTCCCCAGAGAACGGAGTAAGGATGTTACCCTCTCCAGACCCAGGGCCACCCACAGTGACAGCCAAAGGAAGGAACCCAGGAGCCACACACCCCAGGCAGGCAGAGAGCTAAGAGCAGTGACACAGGGTGACACCAGCCAGGAGGCAATGGCGTCTCTGGGAGAGGAAGGATCCACAAGCAATGGGGGTGCGTGTGGAAAGGGTGGGACGACTGGAAATTGTTATCCTCGCTGCACCAGACGCTGCGGACAGAGATTCGGAAGGAGAGGGTTCTGCTTAGAGCTCCCACCCTTTGCTGGCTTCTGTCTGGTTTTGTAGGATCCATTCTGCAGCGCTCCTATTTACCAGAAGTTCTACTTGGCCGTTGAAGGGAATAACGCATCAGAAGTCACCCAATTTCATCAACTCTGGGATACGTTCATTTGGGGCCTTTCCTGAAGGTAGGGATGGGATACAACAGCTTTAAGTTGGCAGACTTGTGTTTATGACCGTGTAGTCTTCTGTGAGTGGAAAACCATTTTGGACTAGAGTGAGTCCTCAAATGAAAAACTGCAGAGCAGGAGTTGTGTCCACCTTAGAGACTTCTGCTGTAAGTGCCCTTTCCATCAACAATTCTTCACTAGCCTTTTGCAGTGAATCTTTCAGTGAAATGGCCTTGAAATTTTACAGCCTTTTGGAAGCTTCTGCTTGCTAATTAAACTGAGGTGTCCTACTGTCTTTAATTGTAAAACCCTTGCACTGCAGTGCACTTCCTATATGGCCTTATCTAATTGGAAATCATATCTTTAACATCTGGGACCCTAGTTCTTAGATGAAGAATAAGCAGGTGTATTGGAAGGTGGTTGGCTTGATCCTTTAGAATTTAAGGACCCAATCAGCTAAGACTTGGAGCCAAACTAAGACCTAAAAGGGATAGACCCAAGCTGGGGACTGTGTGTGTTTACAGTATTATCCTTCCACAGAGGATTTCTGGAGATTGATGGGTCACCTAGTGCTGATCCAACCCATTCCCTATACCATCAAAGGGTTGTTCTTGAGGTAGTGAGCACTCTAACAGCCTTCAAATGTGTGACTTGTGCCCACCAATTTTTGTCGCTTTCTTTACCTCTGAGATCCCTGTTAGCAGTAGCCTTTCCCTAAATGAATGAAGAGAAACAGTTATGTGCACATTAGCGTATGGGCGGTAAGACGCGTGACTGCGTTCAGGACACAACACTAGTCTGTGTGGGCCACCAACAATTCCCCTAAACTTGCTGAGTTTTCCACCAGGACAAGTGTGATCTACAGATTCGGGGCTTGGCACCAGGCACAAATTTCTGCCAGTTCAGCTGGGCTCTGGTCAAATATGCCAGCTCAGCGGGGTTCAAGAAAAAAATGCCAGCTGAACCGGCTTCTGGGCATGAGCCTCGGCAGCCAGAGCTGACCTGTCCTGGAAAGGAAGGCCCAATAGATCAGCAGCCTGAAGGCAAGGGGAGGGGTTTAGACCAAGAGGAACTCACCCGCAGCCCAGGTCACCGGTGAGGAGGACAGAGAACCCACAGGGCTCACAGTTACCACCCCAGTGTTTCGCCTTGTGTCTGAACGCCCCTGGGGGTCCACTTCCGATTGTTTCGCCTCTGCCAAAACTGTTAAAAGAGCAAAAATTCAAGCAAGTAAATGTTAAAGATCCAATGGCTGTAGCAATCAATCACTCTGTGAGTCAGAGAGCATTCCATCTAGCACGTAGGCCGGAGCCCCAAAGGAGGACAGGAAAGGAATAATTTTTACAGTAAAGAGGAGGTGGGAAAAGGAAATTATTAGCAATGGATCCACTGATTTAGGCAAGGTCACCTTCATGGGAAAGGAAGGGGTCAATTAGGAATGTACTTCGTGCTGACTAGGAGTTTTCCTCGTTGATAGGTTAAAGGTTACTCTTCCTGGGCATTGAAACTGCACTTGGGTTAGGTATTAAGTCTACACTGAATGACTTGAGGCTTTAAGCTAAGTGTTGCCATTTTGGGTTTGTTGGTTTTTGTTTTTTAAACACTCCCAGAGGACAAAGGACAAAGACTTATTTCAGAAATAGATAGCAAAGCCCTTTACATGACCCGCTATGTGTTCGTTTCCTACTGCCTAAAACGTGCTTGTTAACCACAGAGAAAGTACAAACTGGTTTCTTCTAATGGGCCTTCTGGCCTTGGTCTTTGACGTGAATGCTCAGGACGTGACTTGTGCGTCTACTGAGTTACTGACTTGCAGCTGGGCCGGAGCACATTCAGCTCTGCCCGCACTTCTAAACATGACCCGCGTCTGCACCAGTGGGGCTCCTCCAGGACACCAGGCCTGAGTCTCCAGGGACCCTGAGTGATCAGGAAAAGTGTATTCACTCTACTGTAGTGATGCTCCTGGGGACAGGGGTCCCCCTGTCTCCCCCCTGGGCCAGGCGCACAGTCGTACTGCAATACGTGTTTGCTGGGCGGCATTGACCAGCGGTAGAAATACACCCACCGTGGACAAAAAGGATGTTTGTACACTTAACTTCACTCGTCTCTACTTACCAAATTTCACCTTACAGTCTTATATAAAATTCAAGTCTGAAACACACAAGACCATACTACAAACTCAGCTGCCCAAACACCATTTTTATTGACTTCAATCCAGTTCCATCAAATGGAGAGGTTTTGTCACCTATAACTCCTGTTTAAGGGTGACTCTGAGTAGACCAGATTAGAGTGAAGGAATATTGACTGTTGAGTAGGACATTCCCACAAGATGTACAATAGTTCTTATTTTCTTATCAAGTAAGATCATCGAAAGCGACTCTCTTTTTGAGCATTTGTTGTGCCTGAAGCTGCTAGGTGCTTTCTTCCTATTGATGAAACAATACGCTAAAAACCTCATTGTGACCTTCATATTTTGGACGATGAAATTGAGGTAATAAAGGCTAAGTGACTTGTTCTTTGGCTCTTCCTGTGCATGTTCTAAAGCCCAAACTACTTTAATTCTATGGGGAAATAACAGGACATTTATGCAACCATTTAAAGTAACTACATTAAAGAATGATTTCTATTTGCTTGTCTCCCATTAATTTCTGATAGCCACAGTGAGCTATTTCCTTTGAAACAAAGGGTTCTGAAGGGTTATAATCATGTGTATATGCACATACCTTTGTTTATTGATGGAAAAAGTATCTCTTGAGCAACCCCTCCTCTATTCCTCTCGTGTTTGACGATACATTTTTGTTCTTTATCCATTGACTTTTTAGGTACGGTCAGCCAAGTGTATTTCATGTATGTGTCCTTAGTTTTCACGGTGTTTCCTTGCTGGGATTGCAGAACTGTTTTGCCATTCTTTTCTTTCCAATCTATCGTGATTACATCGGGGAAGAAATCCTCAAGAAGACAAAGATACGTTCCAGCGTCATGGAGTTTTACTTCAGTAGTTGAAGGGAAAAAAATGGTAGGCTTGGGGGAAATGTCTTCATCCGGATTTTTATCTGTGGGAGAAATGCAAGAGCAATGAAAACATTCTTAGAGAAACAGAAACATTGTGTGGTTTGGAACCGCCTAGCACATAGTTAAAAGGAAGGAAATGTTGCCATAGAATTAGTGCTATGGTGACCACTCATCCATAGTAGGCTAGGAGTTGCTTATTGTCTTACTATCTATGGGTTCAAGAGGTTATGTAAATTGCCCAAGGTCACAGCTAGTAAGTGGCAGAAGCTGGAGTAACATGGAGTTTGTTGAAACAATACCCAGTCTGACCGTATCGCTGAGGAAATAAGTCAGGCAGAGAAGGACAGATACCACATGTTTGCACGTATAGGAGAATTAGGAGGAACTTAACTGAGGACCGTGGGGGAGAACAAGGGGGAAAATGGTGGGGGAGAGGGAGGGAGGCAAACCATGAGAGACTCTTGAATGCTGACAAAAACTGAGGACTGATGGGTGTGGGGGGGAGGGGGGATGGGCATGGAGGAGGGCACTCGTGGGGGTGAGCACTGAGTGTTATGTGGAAACTAATTTGACAATAAACTATTTGTAAAAAAAATTAAAAATTAAAAATTAAAAAAATTAAAAAAAAAAGAAACAATACCCAGTCACTTATTGAAAGAAAATTTGTTTCCACCAGTACTTGACAAACACTCATGTTGACCTTGTAGCTTCAAATAAGGCTCCCATGCCAACTTCTGACACTGGAGTTCGTCTGCTTGATTTCTGATTTTACAGACCATCTTGCTCTCACATCTGAACCGCACCAAGATTCTGAGTAGAGCGACGTTTTAAACTGGACCTCCAAATTATTCACAAAGCTTTATATTTAGAAGCATGTGACAAAATTTACAAAACTTCTATTTAAAACTTTATTGATGGGACTCCTGAATGGCTCAGACAGTTACACCCGACTTCAGCTCAGGTCATGATCTCATGGTTTGTGAGTTCATGCCCTGCGTTGGCCTCTGTGCTGGCAGCTCAGAGCCTGGAGCCTGCTTCCTATTCCGTATCTCCCTCTCTCTCCCTCCCCTGCTTGCTCTCTGTCTCTCCCTCAAAAGTAATAAACATTTAAACATTTTTAAATAAAAATAAATAAAAATGTATTGATTATTTTCAGAAACGATCTTGTATTAACATTATCAAGTATTGCAGTGGTCAGAATTTTGTTTGCTTTATGAAATGTTTACTATAGGCACATTTTAACTGAACTTTCATTGTAGTCGATGCATGACTGAAGACACCATATTTTGGATCTTAGCATCTCCCCCCAAATTCAAATCTGCCCTACCAACCTGCTTAACTTGTTGTCTCTCACACAATTTTCTTTGATTTCACCTGCTGAATAACATTATATGTAACTGCTGTGACGTTAAGGATTGTAATTCCAAAGTATCTTGTACACAGAATGTGAAACTAAGTAAAGAAACATCAGAGTTGTCAAGGGCATGTCATTTGAGGGCTGGAATGTTCCTTGGTTATCTATTGACTGTTAATTAATGATTGAAATTATATAGAGTGCAGCCCTTCCAATTTGATTTCCAACTGAAACATAAATATTAACACATTTTCTTTTAGGGCTAGTTTCGAGTTAGAATGATAGTTTTGTGAACAATGTCTGAAGAAAGAAGAATTGGATTTCTCCTTTGAGAGGAAAAGGAAAAAATATTCTTGAGAATTTCTGCCTATGACACAGAGCTCCTGATTTTCATACTAAATCAATAAGGAAACGATGAGTTTTTATTCCTGCCATACAGAGAGTCAGGTCATAATGTAGCTGTTTTAAACTTGTACATCTTGTCTTACTGCAAATAGTATTTTACTGGCTGTAACAATAAGGCAGTATATAGTTCTCTAACCATATACTTTGTTTTAAATTTTAAAAGCATGTTATGTGGGAGGAGAATGGAAAAATAGTTGGAGAGAGGGCGGGAGGCAAACCATGAGAGACTCTTGAATACTGAGAACAAACTGAGGGCTGACGGGTGTGGAGGGGAGGGGAGTGGGGTGATGGGCATGGAGGAGGGCACTTGTGGGGATGAGCACTCGGTGTTATATGGAACCAACTTGACAATAAACTATAAAAAATAAATAAATAAAATAAATTAAAAAAAATTTTAAAGCTTGTTATCTAAAACAAGATCAATTTTTCAAAGTACATGATATTTACATGACATTTACTTCTAGCCAATACATTAAGTTTTCATGTTAGGAAGTTGTTTTCTTATAGGATTAGTTCTTTTTTTATTTTTTAAAATGTTTTATTTATTTCTGAGAGAGAGAAAAATAGAGAGAGAGAAACAGCATGAGCAGGGGAGGGTCAGAGAGATTGAGAGAGGGAGCTACAGAAGAATCAGGCTCCAGGCTCTGAGCTGGCTGTCAGCACAGAGCCCGACGCGGGGCTCGAACCCACAAATGGTGAGATCACGACCTGAGGCGAAGTCGGACACTTAACCGATGGAGCCATCCAGGTGCCCCTATAGGATTACTTCTGATTCATCATAGCAAAGAACTTGAAAATCAAATGATCTACTTGGAAAATTATTGGACGGGAAGACAGGATGCTTACCTCCTGTCCCTTTTTCCTTAACTAGACTCTGAAAATTTCATTCTTTTCAAGGTAGAAGAAAACGTCAACTCCTATAACTTCTCAATGTGAAAGTTAACTGAGCATTTAATAGTGTACTTGAAAACTCCACACCCGAAAAACAAACAATCCAGTGAAGAAATGGGCAGAAGATATGAACAGACACTTCTCCAAAGAGGACATCCAGATGGCCAACAGACACATGAAATGATACTCAGCATCCCTCCTCATCAGGGAAATACAAATCAAAACCACACTGAAATACCACCTCACGCCAGTCCAGGGTGGCTAAAATGAGCAAATCAGAGAACTCTAGTTGCTGGCGAGGATGTGGAGAAATGGGCACCCTCCTACACTGTTGGTGGGAATGTAAACTGGTTCAGCCCCTCTGGAAAACAGTGTGGAGGTTCCTCAGGAAACTAACAATAGAACTCCCTTATGACCCAGCAATAGCACTGCTAGGAATTTACCCAAGGGATACAGAAATGCTGATGCATAGGAGTACATGCACCCCAATGTTCACAGCAGCACTCTCCACAATAGCCAAAACATGGAAAGAGCCTAGGTGTCCATCAACAGATGAATGGATCAAGAAGATGTGGTTTATCTATACGATGGAATACTACATGGCAATGAGAAAGAATGAAATCTGGCCACGTGTAGCTACATGGATGGAAATTGAGGGTGTTGTGCTGAGTGAACTAAGTCAGGCAGAGAAGGACAGATGCCATATGTTTGCACGTATAGGAGGATTAGGAGGAACTTAATGGAGGACTGTGGGGGAGAAGAAGGGGAAAAATAGTTGGGGAGAGGAAGGGAGGCAAACCGTGAGAGACTCTTGAATGCTGAGAACAAACTGAGGACTGATGGGTGTGGCGGGAGGGGAAGGGGGGTGATGGGCATGGAGGAAGGCACTTGTGGGGATGAACACTGGGTCTTATATGGAAACCGACTTGACAATAAACTATTAAAAAAATAGTGTACTTGATTATATATGATTAGTGCCTATATTTTGGGTCATTATATTACATGTTTTTTCTTCCAAATTTCTGTTTTGAACTTACTAACGGCGTTTTTCATGGCCATAATCATTTTATTGATGCATAAATTAAAAACTAGTTCACAAAACAATTATGTGTGTCTAATACATTTGTATATATTCATAACCAGATATTTTTTGAGGTACATTGCATGAGTTGTTTCTATTTTATTACGATGAAGCAGTAAGAACTCTCTATAAATTTACCATTGTGTATGGTATTTCAATACTGCATTCCAAATTTCTCAGTTTATTCTTCTAATTTTGCCTTAATTAAATAAGTAAATAAAACCATTTCATATCTAATTATGATTTTCTAATTTATGTGCTTTCTAGGTATATTTAAAAGGACTAACCGTATCCATAACTATATTTCTAAGTATATTCTAACTATATTTTCAACTTTTCTTTTTCTGCTATATGCAAGCATGAAGCCCAAACTTGTTGAAGTTAGAGATAATATAAATTAAAATAGAGGGTTAAGTTTTATAAGTACACAGAGGAACTACCAAAAAAAACAAACAAACGACATTTTAATTTCATTTTGTTGCCAAGTGAAGGAAAAGTCCTTTAAATAGAAAGAAATACCTCTAAATTCATGTTATCTGTATATCAGTGGACAGTGAGGTGACTTTCCACTGGAGCAGTTAGAAGTACAGTGGAATCCTCTGGAGAATTTCTGCTCTGTCAGTATAGTTGGCTACAGGCCACCCTCCATACTGGATACAATTCTCCCTTTAGGTGTGAAATGGGGCAACTTCATGGGGTGCCTGGGTGGCTCAGTCACTTAAGGGTCCAGCTTGGGTTCAGGTCAAGATCTCCTGGTTCGAGAGTTGGAGCCCCACGTCGGGCTCTGTGCTGATGGCTCACAGCCTGGAGCTGCTTCAGAATCTGTGTCTCCCTGTTTCTCTGCCCCTTTCCTGCTTGCTCTCTCTCTCTCTCTCAACACTAAATAAACATTAAAGAAAGAAAGAGAGAGAGAGAGAGAGAGAGAGAGAGAAAGAAAGCAAGCAAGCAAGCAGACCACTTTTATCCAGTGCCTACTATATGTTAGACAACGTGCCAGGTACTGGATTCACAGTGTCCCATTTAATTCTCATATGACTCCTGATGAATGCATCTTGTTATCCCACCTGATCAATTGGAAAATGAGGGCAGAGAAAAATCACCAAAGTTCTTATAAGCAGCAAGTGGTAGAGAAAGAGCTACAGGTCATTCTGGGTCCATATCCCGGGCTCTCCTACTACACCCGTTCACTGTCAGCAAAGGAAAAGTGTCAGCTCACAAAGCTTGCCTGTCGTGAGCAACTTCATTCTTGGGCCAAACCCTGTCATGACAGTTACACACGATGTACATGAGCACTTTATGCAAGTCTACACGGACACAAAGTCAGATCCTATTGCAGTATTTGCACAATGTTATCAAGCTGACCTGTACTGTAAGGATTGACATTAACATCTCTCCTAAGATTTCCACAATGAAACGTGCTATGGAAATGAAAGACTATAATTATAATCATTACCATGATTATTAGCAATTTCTGTGTGACGACTGTGTGCTCCAATATGACATTTAATCTCATGGGACCAAGCCTTCCCTACTAACAGGAATACAAGACTTGAGGTAATGACTGGACCTCTGTAAATCAAACAAGGAGACTCATTCCTTCCTTTGCACCCCACTTGGCTCTACTATGTCTCAAATGCACTCAGCGGTCACCACCGGAAATGCGCCTTTGACACACCAGCTAATAGGCAATCACAAGTCTTGTCTTGGCCATGGCATTTCCAGTGTTAGGAATGTCAAAGGCAACATTGGCTAAAGCCTCGTAATATGGGGTCAGTGCAGGGAAGTGCTTGACCTGTGTTGTGCAAAGCAAATGCCCCTTTTCCCACCGACAGCATAGTTTACATGCATTCTAAGCTGCCACCAGAAATTTCTACCTCAGACCGCCTTTCTCCAGATCATGCCCACAGTTTACCTGAGTCTCCTACAGTGGGCTTCCAAGCTAAATGACAAGATCAATGCCCGGGTGCCTGGTCCTGCAAGTCTCCTATTGTCACGTTACATCCCTAGACTGTAGGATCCCTGACCCTGTCTGCCGGTTATCACCATTTGTGAATGACACTACATGTCACGGTGCCCAGAGTAATAATGCAGTTGTAGCATGAAATGCACTTGTGTAAAAACCACCTTATCCATTTTATAAAATGGATGTGGAAGGTAATTCCCACTATTTTACTTCATATGCCCCCAAAAGGACTCATGCTTTGAATGTTTTTTTTTCTAATTTTATGATAGAAAAGGCATAACATCTTTGAAACATTGGTGTGCTTCATTTTATCAGTTAACAGAAAGTATATACTCCACCACATTTTTCTCCTACTTTTGAACATAAAATTCTATCTTCTGCTTCTTTCTAGATCATCACAGGCCTCTTTTCTCCTTCAGCTTTCCTTAGTGCTTCTGATCCTCTATTTTTATCTCATGGCGTAACGGTACTTGTATATTTTATTTAGGCCTTCTCAGGCAGATTTTGGAAGCAGATAAAAGAAATAAAGGAGAAATAGTTTCTGCATTAGAGCTGGTTTCTTTTTCTGCCCCAGACCTTGATAGCTGAGGAAGGTCTACATCAGAGATGACCTGAAACATGAGAGATGTTTGCAAACACTGTTCTGAGAGATGTAGCCATAATGTATGTGGAATTCAAACACACTGAAATGCCAGAGCATAAGGTGAAGTTTTCATTCCCAACATCATCCCTCACAAAACAGGGAGTTGCCTTATGTTTTAGTCCTGGGAAACTCTCATATGAAAAGAGGCTCTTCTAATCCAACTAACTTAAATCCCACAATACTCCTCAGACAGCTGTCAACCTAAATTAAACTCAGTTAAACTAGTTTTGGAAGTAGTATTGGTAAAAGACAATAAGAAGATTAATGTGGGTTTACTAAGTAATACTTGGGACTACCCTCAAGGACCGGGACACAGCCATCTACCTCTCCAAAGATCCCACTGCCATTTGTGACCAATCTGGGACCGAATCCTAGAATTCTGAGCCAGCACCTCGCCTGCCGCCCCTGCATCAGCTGCCTCCCCACGTTATACGGAAGAATGAGAGAATATTTACCTGTGACCCTGAGCAGCGTGCCAGGACCGAACACTTTGTGGTACCAGTAATACCCGCTATACCACTCCCACTGTCTGCAAAGCTTTTACAGAAATCTCCCTTTGTGCAGCCTTTGAAAATTGTGCCCACAGTTTTTCAATATTTATATAAATATATAAAAATGGGCTCGGCTACCATTAAGTGAAGATGAATCTCAAGCAAAATCACATTAGAGATGAACACAGTCAAGAATGGATGAATTGATCCCTCTCTGCCGGGGCAGCTCGGTTCTGTCTTTCCATCTTGCTCATACACATGGAAAAGTGTGATTTCACCTTTTCTCAACATTTTCCTGAATCTTCTAACGCTCTTTTCTTTAAATGTTTTCATGTATCGTTATCAGTTCTTTTCCTAGAGGGTAATTTACAGATACTTCTTCCATAATTTTCAAAAAGGAGCAAAAATAGAAATAGTATTTTTTACTATTTAATAAGTAAATGTTCAAAACATTATTGTGTTCTTCTTTATGTCTATGTATTAAAGGCTGGATATCTGGTTTGTTTATAAAGAAGTGCTTTCCAGAATCCCATTCCCACAGACAGTAGACCAGATGAGTTGTTTGATGACCACTTAACCTATCTGTCGCTGAAAGACTGGTCCTTTGAACTTGAAATTACCCTAACAGTTTCCAGGGCACAGATTTAAAATCCTGAGCTGCTCATCCGAGGATCCTATTGGGTTTGGTCTTCCTGCCGCGGCCCCGGCGGGAGCGGAAAGGCAGCCGAGAGTCAGGCGCTGAGTCCCGCCTGCAGTTCACCTGCTCCAGCTCTGCTGCCGGATTCAGTGTTTCCAGCGCATTTGATGCCAATACGGAAAGAAGACTGAATGCAACGTGGTCACTAGGGCTTGTCTTTATATAGCAATACCCTAAGAATCACACTGTGAATATTTAGTGAATGCATATTCAACTTGACTTTATCACTTAGGGGGAAGAAAGACAATTTTAGTACCATTAAAAGTAGAAGCATTATTTTTCACATGAGGAGTCATACACACTATGAACTACTGTTAGTCAAGCCTTCAGCTAAAGAGTCGATTTAAAATGTCAGTCTACAGAGGGTAAATATTCAGGATGAGAAATACAGCTTAACGTTTCTATTACCATATAATGGTGTAGACCATGTTCCACAAAACAAGTCTCTGTTGGCTCCCAAATTTTGCCATAGTAACCAGCCGTGTGAATTTAGGCAATTAACTGAACTTCCCTAAGGCTAAGTTTCCCCAACAGTGAAATTAAAGTAAGAAGATCTCGTGTACAGAGTATTGAAGGTTGAGATCAGGCACTGAAACTAGGCAGCATGATGTCTGGCTCTTAATAAATAGTAGCTAATGTCATTATTCTCCTCACTCCGATGGTTTGGGGTCGTTTATCAAACATTCCACTAGACACAACGTATGGATTTTATAAGCAATAAGCATTACACAAATTAAGAAAGCGAAAGAACACATGAATCCAAGACATTCTGTGTCTCTGGCAGCGACAGGCTGAAAACCAGGGGGCCCAACAGCCACCATCTAGAATATTAATCCACTAGACTAGAGCATTTGCAGTGTTGGGACTATGTCTTGTGCCTCTTTTATCTCTAGCATCCGGCATAGACAATGTCTTTCTTCAGTAATGTTTTCTGAGACAATAATTTTTAAAAAAAACAGGATATAAAACCATTCAGACAGGGGCGCTTGGGTGGCTTAGTCGGTTGAGCGTCCGACTTTCGCTTAGGTCATGATCTCGCGGTTCGTGGGTTCGAGCCCCGCGTCGGGCTCTGTGCTGACTGCCAGCTCAGAGCCTGGAGCCTATTTCAGAGTCTGTGTCTCCCTCTCTCTCTGACCCTCCCCTGCTCATGCTGTCTCTCTCTCTCTCTCTCCTAGAAATAAATAAAAAAACAAAACAAACAAAAAAAAACCATTCAGACAGGCTCTTTTCATGTATTCTGGAGCTCAAATGGTTTATTGAGCTCACAAATTGCATTAAACTGGACCCACCTCTAGGCAACATCCCAAGAGGTGCAACAGCACAAACTTGGACTAGTGGCAACCTATTTCTAAGAAGCTAGAGTAATAAGAATATGTTGATGATTAATGTTCTTTAGTCAATTACTGTAAGAGTTAGTTTCTGCACTGCTGTTGAAGATGGGATCTAAAGCAATCATATAGGTTTGGCAGTCATTAGAGAAAGGAGCACTTGATCAACGCATTTAATTAAAGTGTTTCTTAAAGTGTTTCTCACTGGAAAGACTGTATACAAGTAAAACACCTTGAACTTACAGAAATAGTTTACAGATATGGGCATACAAATAGTTTCATTTCAAGCCTAACCATACTTCTGTGTGTTTATTTTGTAAAACTAGAATTCAATCTGATTGCAAGCAGGGAAGGAACAAAACCATTTACAAGGTAGTTTTGTTTCCATATAGAGGGACCAGTAGCTGCAAAATTGCTGTGCATCTGTTACAGTCATCCTACATTATTGTTTTCTAAAAAGCATCTATCAATTTTTTTATGCACAGGCTCAAAGAAGGACAGCCTTACTTGCCAGGAGGAGTTACGATAAGCCGCGTTTCTCTTGATCCACTCTGGTTAGACGTTATCACATGGGTTAGAGGTTCCTCAAAAATGTCAGCCTTCTCCTGAGCCTCTTAGCATGACCAGCAGGTAGAGACTTATCCTGGCAGGTGATCTTCTGGATTCCCCTGGATGTCCTTGAATATAGGCTTCATGGCATCTGACATTTTATATACTTTCTTTAGATTAATGGAGCCAATGTCTGTTTTCCAAGGAGGCAGAGGTGATGGAAAATGGAAATAATGAGAGCAAATAGAAAAGAAAGAAAAAAGAAAGAGAGAAAAAAGAAAGAGAAAAAGGAAGGAAGAAAAAGAGAAAGAAAAAATGAAAGCGAGACAGAGGAAAGAAGGAAGGAAGAGAGAAAGTTAGGAAGAAAAGAAAGAAGGAAAGAAAGAAAGAAAAAAGAGATCAGGACCAAGCGGTCAACCATGACTTTTCTAAAATGACCGGGAAAGGTGTTCAGAGATTTAAGAGGTTTTGATTTCCAGGTGTTCTGGTGTGTGAAACCGCTCAGAGACGGCGTCAAAGAAACGCCCTTCCGTTCCCACAAACACCAGGCTGCTGAGTCAGAGTTTGGGATTGCATTTCTGAAAGAGGAACGGCTTCAGTAACTGAAAACGCAAACCTGCCAACAGAAATATACTTGGGACATGTGCACAGTGGCCTCCAGGTTTTACCACTTGTAGCCACTTTTACCATCTGCCAACACGAATCTGTACCAGGCAATGCAGAATGGGAAAAGAATTTCTGGGATGACACACTTTTCCTGGAATAAAAAGAGGTTTGTAGAATTCTATCTCCCATGCAAAAACAGATTCCTTATTCAAACTAAAATTTGAAAACAACCCCCATTGGCTGATGGGTAAAAGAAGAAGATTCCCGCAAGCTATGTGTTATGTTTGGAAATGCAGGTGTGGTCCTACCTCCTTTATGAACTGGCTTTGTACAAGACATTGGCCATCTCTTGGCCACACGTCCCATTTGTTGTGTGGGCATTGGGCCATGTGTTCGCGAAGGGCGCTTCCTGTTCCAACAGATTATGAGCCTGTGATTAAGAGGAGGTAGGATCTGCTGTAAGAAAAACAATGGAGTCTTTTACCTGATTATCAGTAATGTCCTCCAGTCTGATTGAAGCCACCTGCTATCGTGACTGCAGGGATCCTACAGTGTCACAGAGTCAAACCTGTACACAAATCTTCTCTGTTTACTAACCTCCAAGTCTTTTCTCATTTGAGCAACAAAAGTAGATTCCAGAAGGCACAATAGCTTCTCTCTCTCTCTCTCTCTCTCTCTCTCATCCTTCCATTGTAGTTTGAGTAATTTCTGGTGTCTTACATTTATCGTAACTAATTCTTTCCTTATATCTCTTAAATGCACTGGCGACACGTTCAGAGCTGTCTTCATTTCATTACTGTGATTTTTGTATTCTTCCATTTCCTTTGGTTCTTTCCCATAATTTGCAGTTGGTGCTTTCCATATTTTGTGCTGAATTTTCCTCTCTGATCTTGCATTTGTCCAACTTTTCTGTTAGATTAGAGTCTTTAACATATTAATCATAGTCCTTGAAATTCTCTGATGGTGCCAACGTGTCTGTCATGTCTATCTGGTTCTGGTGACTGCTCTGTGTCCTCAGACTGTTTCTTCCTGACTTGCCGTATGCCTCTGAGTGTTTGGCTGGAAGCCGGCCATGTTGTGTGGTAGAGTAGATACTGAGGGAAATATATTTTGTGTTTGAAAATGAGCACACATTTCTTGCTTGGCCTTTAGTATGGAAGTCTGCATTAACTAGTCAGGATTTAGATTGTATTTGGAGTTGGTCATTACTAAGTTATCAGGGCTGAAATGTGCTGTCAGAGTTGAGACACTTAAAAATTCTCTAGCATACTTGGTATTTCTCTCTTCACTTATCTCTGAGTCTTCACTTCGTTCTGCTCCTCAGAGAAGGTCTGTCTCACGAGGCTCTCTCGGCTCTATTCCATGGTTACTTTTCCTCAGTGTTTTCTAGCGTGGGGGTGAAAGGTGAGGAAAGGACACATTCTCTGATATTTTCATTAAGTCTCAGTTTTAGGCAAATACAGTGAATTGGATCCTAAGATCATGGTCTTCACAAGTATTCCTGCCTGCTTTCTGGAGATGGAACATTTCAATTCGTGTCCCCCTACCCCAGTGGCAATAGGGACTTCAGGCCGTGGGTTTGATGCCCATCCTTCTGCAGATGATATCTTGTTACTTTGGGACATAGCGGAGAGTTTCTGGGCAAACGTTCCGGGGGTCACCTCCTGTGCCTTCCCTCAACTGCAGCAGGATCCCAGCAGCACCTCCCTTGCAGATGAAGTCACCCTTTGTCTACAGTGGGGACGGGGTGGATCAGGTCTGGGTCGACGTCAGCAATGCTGTCCCCTCCTGCAGCACCGAGCGTGCGGCTTTCTCTGGATTGTCCTTGATCTTCCCTGTG